ATAAGAAATCAGGAAGGGGGCAAACACTTTTTCACACAACTGTATATACACACACTTATACTTGTATTTGTAGTGACATCATGCTTCATTTTCTCTTCACAAGCTCTCTGAGAGGATGAAGATTGTTGATGTTGTGGGAGCCCGAGTGTTCAAAGATGGAGAGCGCTTGATAACGCAGGTAGTGTTGGGACATTCAGCACTGTATCTTTGGCTGTCTGTGCATTAATCAATAACAGGTTAGACTTCATAAATGTTTCTGCTCCTTGCTGTGCCTGCAGGAGGAGGAGGCCGACTGTTTCTACATCGTGGAATCAGGAGAGGTGAAGATAATGATAAAGAGCAAAGTGAGTGTGTCCAATATCACAACTGAGCCTATTTTAGTTCATCATTTACCCTCTTATCTGTCAATTTGATTATTTTTTTTCCATTAAGTAAATAGAATATTTTTGTATGTCTGATGTTATTGTACTAACTGACTGCAGGACTCACAGATTTCTTTATTGTCTGTTACAGGCGAAGGCCGGCCAGCAGGACAACATAGAGGTCGAGGTGGCTCGCTGCTCCAGAGGGCAGTATTTTGGGGAGCTGGCATTGGTCACCAACAAACCTCGTGCAGCATCAGTTTATGCTGTGGGAGAAACCAAATGTTTAGGTGAGACACTGGTGTTTGTTGCTCCTTGTGTCAGGCGTAACACAACCAGTCCGCGGTCGACGGGGCCAAGAGTCACAGTACCTGACCAAATATTAACACAAGCAATGTGTGTGACCATGAGGTTAAACTGGGACGGGGCCCACCAGTTTAGCTCCGCCTCCTGACATCTAAAATCTCCTTCAATGTCAAAGCTTCACACTCAATTTCAGTGAAGCGGTGGACAAAGACTAAAGCTGTACAGTTTGCAGTAAATTACAGAGGATACATTTTGACAGAAGCAGATTGAACAAATCGATAAAATCAATCTGGATTCCTGTTTTACTGCGATTAAAAACATATCCACTGAGCCTCATGATTAAAATATCTTCTAAATATACTGTTTATTATAATATGGCTGTTTTCATTTTAACTTCCGGTTTGACATCAAATAGTTTATTGAAACACGCTCTTTGTACCGAGTTTGTAGCAGACTCCAATAAGACTTAAATGTAAATCACAGCACTCTCCTAAATTCCAGTCTTTACATGACTGAACATTTCAAAAACTCTGAGCACCAATGTCTGTTTTTAGAAGGTTTCACTTATTTTTTCAAAACTCCTCTACTTAATCTGTCAGACAGGAAAACAGAAGCATGCCGGATGACATCTTACTTTCTCTTTCAGTAATTGACATCCAGGCCTTTGAGCGTTTGCTGGGACCCTGTATGGACATCATGAAGAGGAACATTTCCCAGTATGAAGAACAGCGGGCGGCACTTTTTGGCTCTAGTGTAGATTAAAACAGGACACGTACTTTCAAAATAAAGCAGTATTTAAGTACATAGTGAACTCCCCTTGAGGTAAATGTAACACAGAGCCCAGTTACTTAACTATCCAAATCCAATACATTGGAACAAAATTTGTTTATGTAAATAAGCAGGTGATTATGCAACAGAGACAATTCGATTGCCACCGTTTTATAGTTGTTTACCTGAACAGAATTCATGTTTATTTGCCGTTATTCTGCTGGTCAATCCCTGCTCGACTATTTTATAATACAAAGTGCCGTAACATTTGTCTCTTGAACTCAACACACTGTTAACAACCCCTTCTGATGTTAACGTAAACCTTTGTATGAAATGTAACCTGGTTTTTAATAACCGGCACGTCTCGAGCATTAAAGGTTTAGCTCGATAAAAATATAAAGACATTTTTACCAAATAAAACACATGATATAAAAAAACCAAAGGATTATGTCTTAAATATTAAAGTTTTCTTGAGTTTGTTTTATTTGAGTTACAAAATATGAAGTGCAATCAGCAGACTCCACGGGAGAGTTCGCCAACCTTCTTGTGTTACAAGTATTTACACCCAAAAATCAAGGATATCCATCTAAATCTCACACTCTGCATTCGGGTTTGTCCCAGAGTTCAAGTCTCTGTTAAGTTGTCCAAGTTCCATTGTCAAAGTTTAAATATTTAAAATATTTACAAGTCCTGTATTCAAAAACTCCCAAATCATAATGTAGCTTGTTCATTGCAAAGGCAGGTGCTGCTTCAGTATTGTGAGAAAAGAGCAGAGCTGGTTAAACGACCGTGGTCCTCTACAGGGTCTCCAGAGTTTTACACTTAATTCCTCCTCTAAGAGAAAGCCTGGGCGAGATAGTCTGTACATAATTATTTAAAATGACATGTTGAAATGTCTTTTTAGCCATTGCGGTGTAAAGGCTTCTATGATCCACCCTTGTGAAGAAATTAATATGACAATCAATAAAAGACAGATGAAAGAAAAAAGGCCACCAAGATAGTCACTCGTTCACCAAACATCCTGATTTCTTTTTCTTCAGAGCATCTTCGAACATTAAAATAAAACTCCAATAAATAGAAATACAGCAGAGAAATGGTCAAATAAGACTGATACTGGTTTGTCGATCCGAGTTCTTTTGAGGAAGACCAAAACACCCGACGGGAGTGACAAAAGAAAAAATAGACTTAAAACAAAAAACGTTGATAGGGTATCATCCTACACATTCCCATTGTGTCAAGGGGGAAAAAAAAAAAACAAGTTCTCTTATTCCTCTGGTTTCCTGAGGCTCATCCGCAAGAACGTCCATTGATGATACGGCTTCCAGCAGTGACGGTTACACAGAGGTGATGACAATCATGAGGTGTGGTGAGATGCTGGAGATCCTGTTGAGAAGGTCGGGGGCCAGCTGAGATAAGTGGCTCTCTGAAAACTCGCATTGTGGGAAAATCTGTAGCACATAGGCAGGCTGGAAAAACAGAGGAAAAAAACAATCAATTACTATAATTACAATAATTTACGTGCATTGTTTGTGAGATTATTTTCACTAATGTAACTTGTATGTATATTTCCTTATTAAATATATTAAGAACCTGAACACTAGCAGTCGTGTCTCACCTGATTGGAACCTGGGTTGGGGATATTAATGATACCAGCTGCCAACTTTGCCTGCAAGTAGTTGATGAAAGCGGACTTAAGAGCTTGAGTTTGGTTCAGCACGTCGTCTTGATCTCGTCCACAAGGCAAAGCGAGGAGAAGACAGAAGTCGGTGTCTCCCTGTAGGGAGAACAATGTAAATGTTGTTAGACTCCATTTAATGAAACAGAAAAATTACTCAACGGGAGTAAGACACAAGCACGCGTACCGTCATTCTCCGGGCTACACTCTCTAGTTGTGAAGCCTCGAGCCTCATTCTCTGGACTATCCTAAGCAACGCGCCTCCTTCTTGAAGCGGCAGAGACCGATGAGCCAAAGCTTTGTTACCGCACACAAAATGCAACTGGACTGCAGCTGTGTCGTTCTTCAGTGCCAGCAGGCCTTGCCACACAATAGGGTATTTCTGTTCAAATGTGAGACAAAACAAAAGATAAGTATGTCAGACAAAGACAGCTCTTGTTCAGATACACAACCCTGAACACAATTTATACGGAGAAGTTTTGTCTTACCGTCAGCAGCTGCACCATATTAACAGGCTGCGACATCTTGCCATCTGGTTTTGTCTGGGGGTCTGCACCCTGAGGATTCGAGACAATAGTGTAATGCGTCAGGAACAGTTTCTCCAATATGAAAATATAAACCCACATTTGCATGTATTATTGGCAGCCTCGCTTATCACCACAAACCACAGCTTTCAAAATGCCCATGAAGTTAAATCTACAGCTCTCGAAACAAAACTGAACATTACCGAATAACATTCATGCTGGAAGGATTTATTCAAGGACTGCATTACTTTTAGCTAGGAGTACCTACTAAACTGGAGTGTTAAGTGCAGTGAACTCACCATGGTTGGTGTGACGGTCAGTGGTGGCTGGTTAAGTCCAACAGGAGACGTCTCTGGTATTTGAGAATGGATGCCTCTCGGGTTCGAGTACATCCCAGTATACTCTGGGAATGAGCCACTAGATCCTGGTGGCATTAGCTGAACTCTCTGGGGAGATGCCATAGCTTGCCCGGTTTGTCTGATCGCCATCATTCCATCTTTAGGAAGAGGAGAGTGTGGTCTCTTTGCCTCTAATGGCTTGGTTATATCCTTCTCAGACACACCTTTAGGCAGAACATGTGCTCTTGGAGACAAAGATACGGGCAGGCTGGAGGATGTAGAAGAGGAGGGAAGGGTCTCTTGAATGTGTCCAGAATGAGAGTCAGTGGCCAATCGTTCTCCCTGTTGGTGCAAGAGGACACGCATATCTCTTTGTGCCATGTACGTTTCTAACGGGACACTGGTCCGCAGAGGCCCGCGAGGATCTGACTGCATAGCCTCCGGTTTTAACTGTGTAGCAGACTGTCTTCCTGAAGCCTGGTGAAAGCGTCTGGCTTCTTCCTGTTCCCCGTCATGACCCCTCAAAGAACCGGGGTTCACCTTGAGAACCTTGTCTCTGCCGACAGGCTGGGGTGAGGTGGGCCGTGACTGCATGGGACCAGACCAAGAGGGGAGAGGCTCACTGTGCATCCCATAGCTCATCACAGAGAGAGGGGGAGTATTGACCCGAACGTCTCCTTGGACAAGATGCCCCACTGGAATTGACTGGTTAACGCGGTGAGGAGACATCCGTCCCAAGCCTCCGGGCACACTGTGAGGTTGCATGATAACCGACTGCTCTGCATGGTGTACACCGGTAATAAACTGTTGCATGGCAGGAAGGCCAGTGGATAACATCACTGGTAGGCCCTTAGGTGACGACGAGCCTACGGGAGAGGACACTTTAGTAAACTGAGTGTGTGGATGACCTGACTTGCGAGGGGATCGCGGCTCCTGTTTGATCCCACTGATGTGGGAGGTTGCTCTGTCACCAGCCGTTGTAACAAATCCTACATGGTTGCCAGGTGGAGAGGGCAAATGGGGGCTAATTGCAGGACTTATAGCAGAGGTCCAAGTTGGTTTAGCTCCATCCGTAGTGTGAGGATCAGCATTGTCCATTTTCTTTTGATGTTTTATTGGCATGTAATCTTGATGGTAACTCATTACTTGCTGGCTACCCTGTGTGAGACGCTTCACTACTCCTTGAGGTCCAGACTGGTAAGTAGATTCCATCTTTTCCAAACCACTGCTTTCTTGTTTAATAGAAGACAAAGTTGACTGCGTCTTACCAGGATGCCCGTGATCTGTCTGCAATGAAGGCCCCTTCTGAAGTCCTAAATGAGAATGACCATACATTTCCTGTTTTATCTGCGGCATGGACACCAGCTGCTGAGATTCCATGTCACCTGCTGTTGCTTGTGGGATCTGACTTATTTTTGCACTAATCCTCTGTGGTCCCTCTGTTTTCTGGCCCGAGTGGCTCAAGACTACCACTCCTTCAGAAGTATTTACTCTCAGACCTGGACAAGACCCTGTACCAAGAGTCGGGCTTTCGACAATGAAGCGTGCAGCACTTCCGCCTCCATCACCAACAGATGGTCCGTGGTATGATCCAGCATCGTCTTTGCTGGGCCTATAGGCTGGTTTGGGTAGAGTCATGTCAACACAGGGATTTCCAATGTTCATGTTTACTTTGTCCTCAGGAGGCTCAGGAGGGTTGCAAACACGACTGATAACAGAGGTTGCAGTGGACGCAATGACAGAGATCACAGACTTAGTCTCAGGAGATGATAGTGAGGCTGGAGCTCGAACAATAGGTGGAGCTGGATGAGCTGCCATCCCACTGCCAGAAAGTGGTGACTTATTTGGCACAACAGCTGATTGAGTATTACTTTCAGAGGGGTTCTGATCTCGCAGGGTGGGTAGATTACTCGGAATAGAACTACTGCCTGGCAACGAAATATTTTTATGTTTCATAAGAATCTGCCTCAAGTCACTTGTGCCATGATCTATATCCATGTTTTCAGAGTCGGAGGGTAAAGGCTGGTTTTCCTTGGACGCCAACGGCATGAGAGATAAAGAGGAGACTCCCATCTCTTTAGCCTGATGGCGCCAATCTGGTGGAGAAACAGGAATTCTGCTTGTTTGAATGGGTCTGATATTTGGCCTGTTGGCTAGGGGAGACAGGGAAGGGGAGATGCATTCAGGTGGCACCTGTTGAGGCTTTGGGCATATTTGACTCTTAGACTGGGGGTTAACAGATTTAAGATGTTGAATCGGTTCTTCAGAAGATGACTCGGACTCTGCGTTTACATCTGAAACCTTGACAGCTAAAGGCTCTGGTTCTGGCCTCCATGTAGTAGAAGTAATAACCCCAGTAGTTGCTGCTGATGGAGTTGTTGCAGGAACAGTCTTTACACTGGAAGGTGGGCTATCTGCTAAAGGAGTCGTCAACTCCTCACTGATTGAAGGTCCTTCCTTTGAATCTTTTCTTACTTGCTTTGGGACTTTAGAACGTCTAGGTCTTCCCTTGTTGCCCTTTTTGGGTGTGGCAGATAAGACAGCCTCCTCCTGTACAGCAGGTATATTTGTCTGAGGTTCATTTTCCTTGGCAGGCAAAATCAAGTCTGGTTCAGGTTCTGAACCTACATCTGCCTTTGATGGAGGTGATGGAGCTAATGGAGCTGCTGGAGCTAATGATACAGTTCCATCTTCGGCAGTTATGGAGTCAATAGCAGCCATGAGTTCTGTCTCGCTAGCAGGATTGGAAGGCTTTTCTTCCTCTGGCTCACTTTTCACTTCTGTTTGCGGGACGGGTTGCGTCGATGGTTCTGTTGGGAAAGCTGGATCTGTAAGTTTAGCAATGTTCCTCAGAGCCTGCTCCAATTCCAGCTGTGAAATTAAGTTTTTTGGCGATTCCAGAAGCTCTTTGTTTTCCAAAGTGGCATTTTCTTTTTCGTCTTTGTCGGTATTAGTAGACTTTGAAACATGATCACTCTGGTCACCAGGTTTTAACTTTTTTAAAGAATCTTCTTGTTCATCATCCCCTAATTGAAGAAGATCTTTCACCTCCGTCACATTCAGTCTGATTTTGAGGTTCTTAAGAACAGGAGACTTGGGAGTCCTTGTCAACTTGGTCTTTCCTCTAACAATCCTGTCTTTTTCCAGGGTGGGTTTCTCTTCTAAGACTTGGGAATCCGTCTCTTCCCCATTTGATTTACCTTCACAAGCTTTTTCATGGAAAACATCTTTATTTCTGCCCAATTCCTTTCCCTGTTTGTCTTTCTCCTCGTTCTTTTGGTCAACTTTTATAGTTGGTTCTTCTTTACTTGAACTTGATGAATCTTGCAAAGCCAAGGAATCTTCATCTGTGAAATCCATTTCCTGATCATCATCAGCCACCTCAATTTTTTCCCCTTTCCTTGTTGATCCAGATCCTAGGACTGTTGACATTGGATTCAATGAACTCTTTGTGCCATGAGGGGATGTTTTTCCTTTTGACACTCTTGGGATTCGTTCCCCACCTTCGGATTCATTTGAATCTGTATCTTTATTGTCCATTTTAGATTTTTCGACTTTAACTGTTGAACTCTCATCGCCTTGTCTGCGATTCTTGGGAGGACGTCCCCGTTTAGTTGTAGGGATTGGGGCAGGTGGATCCTGTTCGATATTCTGTTGTGTTGCATCTTTATCTGTAGCTCGCTTTCGCGCAGAGCGCGGTGACTCCGTTTCCTTTCCAGAACGAACTGGCGCATCATCTTCAACTGGAGTGGCATACACTGATTTAACGTTCCTTCGTCTTGCTCTGCCTGCGGATATGCCCGGCTCTGACATATCAGCTTCTGATCCATGAATAGGAGATTTGCCTGTGGACCTTGATTCAGCTCTTGGGGATGATCCACGTTTCAGCTTCTCTTTGTCAATACGCTCACTCTTGCGTGTCGATATGATGGGAACTGGAGAAACTTGAGCAGGTGACTGTTTGCACTTTTTATTTTTCATTTCTTTTGTTTTATGCTCTTTCTGAGGTGAGACTGGCTCGTCATTTGTGTCATTATCAATGGGCATCTGCAATTTACTAACTTGAAGTTTTCTCTCTACCTCGGGCTCTGCTTCTGCTTTCCAAACAGTGTGGCTTTCTTTCTCTTCCTCTAGAAGACTAGGTGGTGTGGGACTAGCAGCTTCAGGCACTTCTGGTTGTGTTGTCTCAGGATCCAGCTCTGCTTCTGAAATGCTAACAAACTCATCGTGAGAATCACGCCGGCATGGTTTTTCAATACAGAGAGGTTTTACATCCTCAGTAATATCCAATTTCCCTTCAGATGGAGACAGTTTACATCTATACACTGAAAAACTGGGTTCAGGTGCTGCCATTTGTGCAGGTTCAGTGTCAGATGGTGCCTCAGGTAATGGGTGGTGCATGGGTATGACGGGTTCATTTTCTGTCACCTCTTCTTTTATCTCTTCCTTTATGACAGACACAGGGGTAAATAGAGGGGCTCGGATTAACGCAACACATTTCTCTTCTTTGACCACAGATTGGGTTACAGAAGTTGGTGTGATTCTGGGTTCAGAGATCAGTTCTTCAGCAGGACTGATCGGTTTAATTTCTGGCTCCATGATAGATTCCATTGTTTCAGGCGACTGCAAAGCGTGTTGCTCTTCAACAGGTGCCTTTTCCACTTTAATCTCATCTATGGGCACTGTTTCTACTTTTACCTCTTGTAGCTGATGGGGTTTATTCTTCTGCTGTTGCAGTCGTGTGAGTTCCAAAAAACGACTATGGAAAAGGACAACTGGCCCTGTGTCAAGTTCACCATCTCCTGTCCCTTGCTGACCAGGCTGCTGGTTTTGTGTATGTTCAGGTTCTTCATGTTTGCGTTCCAAGTGTTGAAGTCGCCTAGAGTCCAGCTCAAAGACGGGGCTGTGAAGGAAGCGTGAGGCAAAGAGTTCCCTGCGTTCCTGCTGCTCTGGCTTAGGCTCCTCCTTCCTGTCATCAACTTTGTCTTCGGATCCACTTCGAATCTTTTTCTTTTTCATGTACCAGGAAGGTGTCGGCCGCGGTGCTGATTCTACCTTCTCAGTATCCTTTCTGTTGCGTAAACTTGCAAAGTGAGAATCATAATCCAAAAATGACCAGTTATCTTCTCTTGAAGAGGAGAGAGATTTTGCACGTTCGAGCAGAGCCTTTGTATCAGGTGTGATAGTTTGATCAAGTGCAAAGGAGTAGAATTTGTTTCTTTCAAGATGTGCTAGTTTGGGGTCTGAAAACCTGTCAACCCTTGGCCTCTCGGTAAAAGGCATAGATGTGGACGGCATGGGAGAGTGGGGTTTGTTCTCTCGGTCCTCCTCAGAGTCGGATCGTACTTCCCCGGGCTCCAAGTCATGCCAAATACCATATTCCAAACGCTTGCGATTGTGAATGTTCTTACTTAGACTTCCAGAAAGGTTCAGGTCAGGTAACAAGTCTTTGTTAACTCTGCTCTCCCATCTCTTTTGTTGCTCTTCTTCCACACTAAGTGAAGGAGTGTTTGGCTTGTTTGCCTGTGTGTTATGTGTCCTTTTGACCAATAGCTCTAGATCTGGGTGAATCTTTTCCTCATTTAGACATAACTCTTTCTGAGAAGGGTCCACGAAGTCCTCATCCACATGGTGAGGGAAGTGCTGATGTCCTGGAGAGATGTTGTTCCAGTCAGGATCTTCACTCTTTTGACGAAAGCTCCTGTAGACTCGCTCCCTCTTAATTCCTGGGTCAGTTTCAAAGAGGTCTAGTTTCTTTAGTTTGTGAGATGGGAAATTATCTGTGACATCCTCAGGTGGTTTACCAACTTCATGCACAAGACTGCGATGTTCCAAGTCCTCTGCTTCACTTCCTAGAGGACTTCCTGGTTTGTCAGATTTGTCAGACTCACGCTGCTGTTGCTGCTGGTGCAACCGTCTATTTTGCTCCATTTGCTTGCGGTAACTCTGAGAGAGGTCAATATCAACATAGCCTTCCTTGTTTTTACCACTTTTGTCAGAGTCAGCATTCGGAGCACCAAATTTGAAAGCAGCGAGGTGTTCTTGCTCTCTTATACTGCTTTGGTCTGGAATCCCTTCATGGGAAAACCTTCGGGATGAAGTGTGCCCTGGATGTCGTTTTGACTCCAGTGGATCCAAAGATCCCTCCGACTTCTCTCTTTGCCCTCTAAGGTCCTCTTGACTATCCTTCTGAGTGCCACTTTTTTCAGCTTTGAGTCTTGAATCTCTCCGTTGTGAATCTTTGTTTTTGTCGGTGTCCGACTCTTTTGAATATGTAGCACCAGCACCAAACTCAGCGGGAAAAACATCCTCCTCCTCATGCCTGCTTCTTTTCTGACGAATAGTCCTGCCACCGGAATCAGCAAAGCGCCTTTTTCTTGCAGCAAGGCGATCTGAATCCACCGATAAATCTTTCCCATCATTTCCAACGTCAGGCTTAAGATGTTTCTTGAGTCTGTTTTTTCCATCCAAGTCTGAATTCTCACCTTTACTCATTTCAGATCTTTCACTTTTTACAGAGTCATGATGAGCAGTTGACGACTGATTTCCAGTAAGAGACTCTCCATCCCCTTTACTTTTCTGCTTCTCATGAGCATCCTGGTCTGATCCCCGTCCTCTTCCAGCCCCTCCATCTAAACTTGTCTCAAGCTCTGGTTCAGGTAGAGGATTGGATGGAGATTGCCCCTTTGCTTTCCTTGATTTAATCTTCTCAGCTTTGTCTTTGTCACCTTTCTCTTTTCGTTTTGCACGTTTGGTTTTCTCAGCACCTGCCACACGATCTGGTTGGCTGGTCTTATCACTCTTCGTGGCAACTTCCAGCAGGGTCTTTTCAGATTTATCAAAGTGTGGTGGCGACATTGAACTCACACTACCACTTCGCTCAGAGGACTGGCTGTAAACCCGACGTTCTGGGTCTCTGGGAACCCGCTCAGATGGTGAAGGCGATACTGTAGGAGTAACAGGTCGCCTCGGATGGGAAGGGCTCCACCTGGTGCGGTCAGCCTCAAAACGTTCTCGCTCTCTTTCTCGCTCTCTTTGAATATATGTGTATTTTCGGATGTCTTGTTCAAAGGGGTCTCTGTAATCCCGGTAGTCTCTTGGGTCTTCATGATAACGTGGGTCAAAGTGCTCTCCTTGATAGTTTTCCAGTTCAGGAAAACGTTCTCTACTGCGAGCAGCAAAGTCTCTTCGAGCTTCCTCTGGATAGATGCCAGGGGTTGCTCGTATATTCTCATAGTAAGCCCTTTCTGTAGGAAATTCATGGTATGGGGGTCTGCGTTCCTCTCTGTAGAGCGAATGGAGAGAATGGGAGGAGACAAGCAATGACATTTGTTAAACTAAATAATTTAACTTTCATAAAGTAGCACAGTCACTTTCAGATTAGGAAACGGGGCTAAAATATTTTGCTGCGGAATTGTTATTCTGAAGATTTTCACTTTACATTAGACATATTTATCAGGGTTGATTCAATTTGAAAGAACGGTTTGAAATAGCAATTTTATCAATTGACAAATTTCTGACATTTCAAAAATGCATATACAACTGTGGTCAATATCTCATGCATGCAATTCAAACTATGGGGAATTTACCGTCGTTCAGCAGGAATTTCATAGATGTCTCTAATGTCTTGACCAGATGCCTGCATAGATCGGTAGAATGCCATCTGACTCTCTTGACTTGCAAAATCCACCTTTAACAAATAAATTAAATAAATAAGTTGTCCACAAATACACATACATACACACATGAAAAATACGTTTCACTAACAAACTCAATAATTGTTACTGTTTACCTTTATTTTATTGCCTCCAATCTTCCAACCTTTGGTCTCCCTTACAGCTGCCTGAGCAAAATCTGTGTTGTTGTACAAGATGAGGCCCATCCCTTTCAATCTATCAAACACAACCTACAGAAGGACAAAACGATACATTTAGAGTTGTGTAAACTATACAGCATTACATCTTAAGCAAGAGAAAATACAACACCTTACCTTAACTACATGTCCATAGCGGCAGAAATGCCGTGTGAGGTATTGCTCTGTGACACTGGTTGCTAAACCATCGAGCCAAACACACGTCGTGGGCATACTCTTCCCAAACCCAAGCTTCAAAGAGAAAGAGAACAACCGCTGTGTTATATACACAGAATACATTGAAAACCTACTTGGAGCAGAAATGATACTCTTGTTAACTGTAAAAACACTACCTTTAGTCTGTTGCTTCCCAGATACTCTCCATCCATCTTCTTAATGGCCTTGCAGACACTGGCAATATCAGAATACTGCACAAAGGCATATTGGGGAACTCCATTTACTTTCTTGATGTCAATGTCCTTGAGGAGAAAAGACAGGACAATTAGAGACCCGTATCAAACGTAAAATGTACCAATTTACAGTACAGTAAGATGGTAGCATACCACAATTTCTCCAAAGCGTTGAAAAATGTCAAGGAGTTGTTGATAACTGGTGGTCTTCTCAAGGTTGCCTATAAACAGTGTCCTTGTGGCCTTTGGGTGGAACTCATCTATCCGCCCATCCAAGGGCCTGAATTCATTTTCACTCTCCGTTTCTGAGGGGAAGGACGAGGTTTATCATTAACAGTACTGACATGCTGCTAAATGTCACAAAAACACAGTTTTATGTAATAATGTTTTCAGAATTCATTTGTTGGCACCAAGTGTTCATCACACTGCTGTTTTGTATATTTGTTGTTAATTACCTGGGCCATTCCAGGCCGTGACTTCGATAAGCATGCCGAAGAAGAGCTTTCCTTTGGAGACAGTGAGGGCTTTCTCTTGATCCTCTTGTTGCCTGAAGAACACCAAACCATAGCGGTCTTCTGAAGCTCCATGGATCTGCACTGAGGTCACTTTCCCATGTTTCTTGAATTCATGGAAAAGTCCATCTTTTAAACTCGTGTCTGTGGACGGTAAAAAAGAAAAAAAGATTACTATCCAATGCTTATCTTCAAAAGGAGTACTGAAAACCTGTACCGTTATATCACATTTTGCCTCTTTAGTGTACATTTCATGTAGTACCTTTAAAAAATAAAGAATTTAAATGTTTGTAGGAGTAGGTAAATATGCTACTAATGGCGTGTACACTTTAGTTGGTAAAAACATTCTTGGCAGGTACAATTTAGTTTACCATCCCTTGACATGTAAATAAGTGTTAAACAGATAATGGCTTTCAACGGCATGATTGGAGACTACTGCTGTATATAATCAGCATTAGAAATCTCAACAGCGGTTCAGGTCTCCATCCTCAAGTCCATAACACAAAGTTAATTTGATTAAAATAAGATTTCTGTACACCAACAGAAATGCACATTTGCAGGAACCCGAACCCAAGTCTCTGAACATGGTCACATGATCACCTGTGCAACTTAATTTGGATTTGTTTTAGCTACATGATGATGTGTGCACTTATGTCCACTTTGTTTCCAAGTTCTGACAAAATAAATTTATACATTTTATGGATAAGATGGTGTTCTCTAGCCCTTTCAGGACATGACAATGTATTGATACTTCTGAGTGAGTACGAGAGGTAAAAGTGGTTGTTGGTATGACTCTGTGGGAGAGTCTTGACATGTAGAAACTCACCCGTGGAGCGCACTGGTAGGTTTTGCACTTTAATTCCAAAGCTTCTGCGTGGCTCATCGGAGTCAAGCCCCATAGAAGACTGAGTCGGGGCGTGTGTAGCTGAAGACTGAGCAGAGTGCGCCCGAGAACCATCACTGGAGCTGCTGTTTGAATCGCTGTCGTCACAAAAAAGAAGAACAATGATTAGACACTTGTCGGTCTGAGTTGAAATAGTATTTGTTGGTACCCATTCATGTTTCCCATGAAGCTTTAACATCGTAACATAAATGTCACACCTGCCGCTGCCCGTGCTGCTGGTGCTGCTGACAGAATCGGAGCTTGAAGATCTGCTGTGGGATCGAGATCGTGGACCTCTCCCGGGGGACAAAGGAGCTCTTTTAGGGGAATGAGGCGTTTTGGGGGTTTGTCCCGTGGTCCGTTGTGGGGAAGGGTGCCTCGACTGTGAGGAATGAGATGATCGGCTCCGGCGGTGATGGTAGGTTCTATCAACCCGTCGTCCTCTGTCATCTCTGTATAGGTCACGTCGTGTAGAGTTAGTCAGAGTAAAGGGGTCTCGAATTCTAGAGTCAAAATGTGGGTCTGTTGCCTCAAAGCTCCCCCCGATGGCACTGCTTCCTGGACCAGCAGCAGCAAACATGGAACGATCACGGTAATAGTCTGCGTTGTAGTGACGCTGTCTTTCGAAAGTGCCACTGCGCTCATGGTGTCCGTACGGGCTGTGGTCATACGCACGTTCACGGCTTTCTGTGCTACTGTGAAATAAGAACAGGGTAGAGAGGAGGAAAAGGGAATTACTATGAGGATGTCGGAAAAAAAATGTCGAGAAAACAACAACAATTTCCTAATAAAATATGACATTTAAGAGCACAACAGCAAAAATCGAAATGGGTCGGTACAGCAAGGACACAGCTGAGAGGAGGCCAGACAAGCTGTGCAGCTTGATACTTAATAATGTAGAGATCCTTTCATTCTTGCTGTAGCAAAATGTATTAGTCTGTCTCTGTCAATTTTTGGTCACTGATCCCCTCTATTGGGTTCCAGTTGATCAATTAAGAAAACAGAAGTGCTCAACTTTGATAAAAGTTACTACGAGGAACTTTCACTTTCGACTGCTGGTCGAAGGCAGCAGAGTAGCCGGCTCTGGGTCTGTCCGTGGTGGGCTGGTCTTATTTACTTATGTTGGTCATAAAGAGGCACAAGTGTTAAATTGACTGTTTTATAACCAATTAAAAGTTCCTCACAGTAACTATAAAGAACTGCTTTTTAACTTTTCAGCCACAAGTTTCACAACAAAAGTTGCATATTTTCATTCATGTAACTTTTGATATATATACATATATACTGTATATATTTGTTTTCTCATTTTTCAGCACAAGAGGAGCATTTCCAATGATTAGAAAAAGAATTCCTCACAACACAACAAATAGGTCAAACTGTTTGATTCATTAAGATATGACATAATGGGGTGAATCTATCAAATGCTGGCACTGTCTGTAAACACTATTACACACAGACTATGGTTAACAGAGAGAGGGTGCCATATGCTGTACCGATTGGAAAGCCTTTTGAGGCAAATTTGTGAAATTGGGCTTATATAAATAAAATTGACTTTACTTTTGTGGCGCTGCTAAACTGTCAGCAGCCTAAAATTACATTTCATTTTCTGACAGCAAACAAGCACACTTTACTATACTGTAAATTCATAAACAGTCACGTGAAACAAAGCCGCCCCAGACTGTCAGTACTACCTTCTGTGTTTCATTATGAAGATGTACTCATACGAACACGTAATTAATTAAGCAATGTTGAAATGCTGTTCTTAGTGTGGTTCAATTACTTTAATTTGCAATAACATTAAGCACATTTGGCTGCTCTGGGTGTCCAGGGGAGCTGATTTCAGAGTTTGACTGTTCATGAACTATTGCTGGTAAGAAAAAAAAAAATATTAAAAATAAAACATTTCTTTTCAATATTCAACCGTACAATTCTCCCATCGAGGAGTTCAGTGGTACTGAAATTTAAAATGCCATGCAGTTCAGATAGATGTACTTAATGTGAAAATAATACTCTGTAGTATTTATGTGATGCTGGAAAAAAAGAGGCACTTTCATAAAGAAATGACAATTACATATATGTATTATATATGCATTTTATAAAACAGATGCTCTCCTCTGTTGCATCAAATCAATCTTTTCCCTAAAAGCAGTGCAAAACCTAATATTAGACAAAGCACTAAGGAATGTTAGAGAAAGAAAATATGCAGAGGGCAGAGCAATACCAACCTTTTTGGAAAGAAGTAACCGAAACTAATCCAAATAAATTCTAGGTGGATCAGAATGTGAGAGCCCGAATAAAAAACCAAGGGGGAAAAATCAATTGATCTAATTAGGCAAAAACGGATCTCTTGAATCGCACTGCACGTTATCTTCAAATACTGTGGAGCACCAGGCCAGTAGGTTGTTGATGTATAATCCACAGTTAGGCTACTTAATTCTCTTCACTGGATGGAAAAAGGAAAAAACAAAACAATCACAGAAATGGACCTCTTTATGGATTTCTGGACATGTTTAAAAAAAAAAAAAAGAAAAAAAAGAAGAAAAAAAGAAAAAAGAAAAAAAACTACAGTAACATAAGACCATAATAAATAAATATGGATTTTTAAAAAAATATGATGAACTTCAGGGTAATTGAGGGAATTCCAGGTCGACTATAGAGTAAGTTGGTGCCCAAATGGAAGATACATCCAACTGGATCAATCTTGTCTTGTACATCAGTAAGTTCCAAAAGTTACGTTCCACCGATAATATCAAGTAGTTTAAAAATCATACAAGCGTGTAGACTCGCAGACACTATGATCACGGTATATAAACTCCTCGTGGGCTCACAGGCATCTTAATTCCACAATCCAAGGATCTTATGGGGTGTACATACTGGAAGGCTTCATCTTTTGGCAGTAACATTTCAAGTTACTTGGTAAACGTTGTCTTCAGCTCTCTTTAACATACTCTAAAGTGCTCTTCTCATCGAGCTGAGGCCTTACACAGCTACATCCACTCGAGTAATCCAGATAAATGGTTGCTACACCTATCCACACTAGGGCCCACATCAGTACCGGTACATCCAACATGGATGTGCGTACATCCCTGGAGGGTACATCCCAACTAGGCTGTCTTCATGCGTCTTCATGGCCATCAATCCTAAACAAGAATAGCTCCACAATCTTGTTGTTCGGATCCTCCGTGGTCTTGCAAAGTCTTCTTGTAATAGCTTCCGTATTTGGGACATAAATTGGTTATTGCATGTAGTTAATCTCACCCTAAAATGACTGAGATAGCCTAGAATATATGCACTACATCGGTCTTTCTTGTGATGTGTAACAAATGTGAAGTTCTTCCATCCACTTGTTGAAAACTTTAATCCAGAACAAGCTGTATCCACAGATGCAAAAAAAATGGTAAAATTAGTCCATCCATCGCCAGTAGCCAAGAGGGAAAAAAAAAAACAAGAAAAAAAAACTGACCACCCGAGATGGGAGATCCTTGACATAATGATATATTACCTGACTAGATTCTTCAAAGAAAAGTACATCCTTTATAATAGGGATTTACTTCCACTTTCAAGCGATTCCAAGTAAAATCGAGGTTAGATCCCATATTTAGGAGGAAAATGTTTGAAAAGTATCCAAAAGATCCCCACGGTAGTTCCCCACAAAATGTAATAAATCCAAAACTCACCAGGATATTCCTCACAGATGTAATATCCAAACCAGATGTCAAACCTTGATTATAGTTAACTTACCAAATGATAATGTGTAGTTAATTTAATTAGCTCCCATGGGAAAGGCGAGTCAATTATGATGAAAAGTGGAACGATCCCTAATTACCTTTGTGCAACACCCTTGAGGCATCTATCCCTCACACATAACCCCACTATGTGTTACGGTTTTACACCTATCCAATACCTAGATTCCCCGGGATTGTATGGGGAGGCCGTGTCCACTTACCCATCTATTCTCCGTTCATAACGTCCCTCTCTGGTGTGAAGGGAAACAGGTGGGCCAAACACTGGACCAACTGTTCCCCTAGTGAATGCTGTAACGTCTCGACTGCTCGAGGGTGAGCTGTCTTCAAGGCCCCGAACAGCACTAGGGACTGACCCAGGTTCATTGTAGTCAGTCCGAAGGTCCCTGTCTCCCATCTTGTTGACAGCGTTGTGAGCCTTCTGCGCACTTTTGATATCCACAAAATCCACAAAGGCTGCCACACCACCCTCTGACCCTCGCTTCCGCAGGACTTTAACACTTTCCACACGTCCATACCTGTGGAAATTACAACGAAAACAAAGAGGAAATTACACATGCACCGTCTAAGAGTAGAGAAAGTGTAGCCATTTCTCTGTATGCCAGAGCCTGGTAAATGGAGAGCAGAAGAAGCAGTGGTACAAAGAGAAATTATTTACCTCCAATTACCAAAGTAACTTAACATTAATGCTTCTTTTTTGACCACTTAACAGCAAAAAACTGTCTGAACAGTGTCAGCAATTGTTATGCTCATGACTACACTTCATGTTACAAGTAATGTTGGGAGTGTTACGGTTTCCAAACAAACCAAAGATCCCTCTGGGACCTCACATGTCAAATATCAGTGTTTAACAACTATAAAAAGCACAAGACCCCTAGCTAGTAAGGCTGTACCACAGTAGGACTCGTAAACTACGACTGGATGTAATGTTCCTCTGTGTTGTGTTGCATGTGAGCCTGTTGAGTTAAGGGGCCATTACATAACGTAGCAAAACGATTAAGATTAGCCTATATGGGTTTAAATTACTTCTACAAACAATGGGAAGCATACACGTTTATGCTTTTAGCTCGCTTTATATTCAAACACTTGGGTACTAGCTATGGGGAGCAAAACCTGGTTTGCAATTTACATGTAAATTGGCCTATTTGAAAACAACACGGTGTACGTTAGCTAAGTTTAAGTAAGCAATAGTGATGGCTACCGACGTCGAGCTGATCAACAACTTGCTAACATTCGTTATCAGCTCGGTGAGTTTATTGGTCGTCGCAGATTTTTGATTCTTCACATTTTAATATTTCTCAAACACGGTTGATCAGAGAAATAACGTCACGAGTCGCACGTTCCCACTGGCTAAAATAGCACAAGTCATCTCATGTTATTTGACCTGCTGTCCAGCTAACGTTAGCTGCCTTTTGGCTCGTACTGATCATGTAAACGTCTCGACTTCTCACAAAATGGGGTTGGTTGGGTGGTAGCTCGGTGGCTAGAAAACCGAGCTACTTGCCCACTGGGTTTAGCAAAAGTTGGCCAATTTATATTAACGGTAACCATTTACACTTGAGTGGTTCCATACCAAAAATTTCAGTTCAACAAATATAGCTGTGCTGCAACACAGTACATACAGCACATAGGAAACCCCGACTTGTGAAACTTAAGAAATGCTAACGTTAGCTGTGTTAGCATTAGTCGCAGGCTGACTGTTGCAACTGGCTAACGTTAGTACTGAAGCTAGCGCGCGCTGCTTGGCCAACGGAGGATCCCTCTTGCGTAACCTACCGTTTAAAATGCTCCACAATTTTCTCCTCTCGAACATGTTCGGGTAAATTTCCCACCCAAAGGTGTCTGGTTTCCCGAACCATCTTGCGCGATTCTTCCCCCCTTCACACTCATATGATCATGCACGTTTCTAATCCCTGCCGGTCGGAGGTCCGCCTGAACAAAATGAACGACGGGGGACTCCGTGAATAATCTGGGCCTGTAGCCTGCTGCCCGTTTAGCTTTAGCTGATGCGTCCTCGGTCCATGCACGTGTACGCGCGTGCGACTCGCTCCTGGTGGTTTTGGGTGCGAGCTGCGCGGCCCCGGGCTCGTATGCAGCGCGTGCTTGACAGTTACGAATGCACACAACAGTGAGCACGCGATTTATTATAAAACAACGAACTGCATGCAGCCCGCGAGCAGTGTTTGTCCGCGGAGTCAATCGCTTTTTGTCTGCAAGGTAATCAATGTTCTTGATTATAATACATCCCAGTTGCAGAAAAGGAGATCCAATCGTCATTAAACGTGCCACTGTTGGATACAAGCTTAACATTCGATAAATCATTTAATAAGTTGAACTAACGTTATTCCTTTCAAGTTGAATAAAGTCTATAAAGACTGCTGATTATCGCAACCCAGTCAATGGTACCTAGCAGGTGCATGTAAGTGAAAACTATGGCTAAAACTAGGCTTAATGGCAATCTTTCGACCATTATTTTTCAATTAATCACTTATTAGTTTTATAAAATGCGAATGTGGAAACTGTCACATTGTCAGAATCCAAAAATGACGTCGTCAAACTGCCTGTTTTGTCCCATAACAGGCTGAAAACCAGAGATATTCACTTGATAATTATAAAGAAAAGAAGGCACCAAATCACAGTTAGCTGCAAATGTTTGTCATTTTAGCTTGATAAATTATTTAAAAATCGATGGTCAAAACTGATCAGTAGACTCAATGTGTGCACTCGCAAAAACTAAAAACAAAACATATTTTGCTGGTCAGAAAGGGTCACGAGAATGTGTTCCTACCCTTTGCCCCCTTTGGCCTCTTATTAAACAGAATTGGATTTAATGAGCAACCTAAAGTGAGACAATACATTTTGCTGAACAACGGCCACTCTGGCCACAAAGTGATGATGGTAAATATGAATTTAACAGTACCACCAGTAGAGAAGACACCTAAAGTAACCAAAGAGATTCAGTAATGTCTGACAACAATATCTATCTAAACTTTGATAACATTAGCTAATATTAGCCACCATAAGCTAGTGGCAGAATAGAGTGTATTAACTGATCAGGGGGGTGATTTTCTTTCATTTCTTTCTAAATAGTCCTACTGTAAAGACCAGACAGAAAAGATTGCAATATTTACATAGTATATAAAAAGTGTGGTGAATAAAAACGTAAATGACGAAATATTTTTTACCCAAGAATGTTTTAATAAATGTTATGGTACAAAGAAATATAATTCCACAAACATGCCATTTTGAGATACAGAACATAAATACAAAAACAATCTGACTGAGACTTTAATGCTTTAATTGTAAATTCATGTCAATGGTTCTACTGTTGAGGCAAAAATATTCAATATAGGCCCTGTGGTCCAGTGAAGAGTGTTGTCACATCAAAAGCATCTTCTAGTTTTGTTCCATGAGTGCTTTAGGAAGTATGATCGTGCTCTGTTACACATTATTTTATAAATCCCTAATGTCTGTTGTCAATTTTTTATTTTATTACTTTTTGATAGTGTATGTGTAACTTAACAAATGCTATGTTGGAGCCTGCCTCAAGATAAAATATATTAGTTTACTTTTATACAAACATTTTTTTTAATATAAAGTTTATTTTTTATATAAAGGGTTAATGTCATTGAGAAACAGTTTACTGATTGAGATTTACAAGAATTCAAATAATGCTTGCCATACGTTTTTGCAATGGCTGTTGCATAAATATATTTGGTGCATTTGGTAGTTTATTGAGTGCAAAATGATCAAGTATAAAAGAATAAAGGAGAATCTTCAGGAAGCATACTGTAAAAAAAGAAGAAGAAGAAAAAAGCCATATTTCATTATCATTCTATTGGAAAAAGATGTGTGACGTTATTGTGCATGACTCTGTTATTCCAGAGTCATGCACAATGCCCATGCGAAGTCTCTTTGAACCTAGACTCGTGGCACTTTTCCATCAGTTGCAGTTCATCTCGGGCTGTGAGGCCACTGTTAGTGTTGGCCAGAAACCAGGTTCAGATGGCAAGATTTGCAAAGCAGCTTCCCGTCTAAAGGATAGCAGCCATGCTCATTTGGTTCAGGAGAGAGCTGGATGACGCAGACCTGCAGAAAATAGAAAAGACTTGATCAGGGGGTGATTAATGTGTGTTTGCATATTTATCAGTGTGTCTGTTTAGTAAACACTGTTTGCTTGCAGAATGCCTACCTCACATCTGTAGCAGTTCTCATGGTACGAGTGTCCCAGGCATTCAACATTATAGCTGTCAGTACCATCTTCTTTCGGAATGATTAGCTGGTTGCAGGCGTTACACTTTGGAGCATACTTCCTTTAAAGACAACATTTTAGAGGAGAGAAGCTGAGGCAAAGCAAGAGTGAGTTTTGCAACCCTGTGTTGTAGGTCTACAGTGAAAGTGATTTACACAACGGCTTCAAAAGCAATTTGTTGATGTATTGTCTCAGGAATTGTTACACAAAACCTTTTTGGTGAATTGTGTACAGAACGTTTTTCGTGTGATGCTTGCCATAATTCTGAACGCTCATACCTGTAATAGTCCTGGAGGCAATAAACTTCTCCAACTTCTCCCTGAGCAAAAGCTTTCTCCCCAATTTGCTGTTTACATGTCGCACAAGTGAAACAAGAAAGGTGGTACACTCGCTCCAGTGCACGGATCACCTGGTCTGTGATAACCTCCCCACACGCCCAGCAAAGTTCCAGGCTGGCCTAAGAGACAGAAATAAATGGTTAATGGAATACATTGCAGTATTAAAAGACAATACCACATGTTCCACTGTTAACCTCATTCGATACAAACCACTTAAGTGTGACTGTTGGTCATTCTCCAAAAGACAGCTTAGTTTTTTTAAATTGTTTTTCACACTTTCTTTTTGCAAAGAATACAAACCGGATAGGTAATTCCTTTACAATGAACGTCTGTGCTACTTTTATTTTTAACATTATACTTAGACTTGAATTAAATCGAACTACCCCGTGCACTAACATAACATTGATACTAAAAACAGGTGACATAATGTTGACTGTGAGGGAAGGAGATCACGACTTTCATGACATGATTATCATGTAGTAAAAGTAAGGGAAACCAATTGCTAAATGGAGGGTTTGGGAAAACCACAATATCAAAAGAATTCACAGCAGTCTTTAGAAAACAGTTAGCATTAATGTAAAGCATACATCATTTGAAGTAAATGAGAATGCAACAACATTGATATGGTCCTTTGGAAAGATTGTATTTATATTTGCAGCTTTAATAACATCCAGTAGTGCAACTGTATTGACTTTGATCTACCTGGTAGCAGTCTTCACAGAGTGGGATGCCAGCCTTGTTGTAGTACTGTTTACCAGCCAGGGGAATGTGACAAGATCTACACTGGAAACAACCGTCGTGGTACGTCCTGTTTAAGGCCTCTATTGCAGGTTCAGAAAGAGCCACGGGTTTCCGACAGAAGCCACACACATCTGCATGGTACACAAACATCAAATTACAAAGAGGATTACATTTATATGTATTGCCTAAGTGGTAAATGTGTAACTAGAGATCATGTTACCTCTACTCTCCCTGCTCGTGTCTTGGTCATTTTTATGGATCCCGTGGGATTGTTCATCTTGGTTTAACCCACTAGATGGTGTGCTCGTTTCCACCTCAAATGTAAAGCACATTGTTAATGTAAGTTCACATTTGAGTTTGGCCTCACAAGGTGAACCCCACACTTAAGTAAATGCTTGATTTTGAACAAACAGTGGTCATGTTTGATGCTCGAATAAAAATATTGGAAGATTAAACCCATTTAAGCATTTTTTACCAAACTTGAACAGAGGTAGAAAACACAATTTAAACCTAAAATAATAATAAAAGTACATTTCTTTACAGAAATACAAATATGAGGCGCCTCTAAAGGAATTAGATAACCAAAATATTTGGTGTATACACGTAATTTTTGCTAAGCCCTTATCCGACATATTGAAAACACAAACAAAACATTAATAAAACATGGGATACATTGTATAGGTACAAGAAAGATAAAGCATTATTAGACCTCCTGCTGTAACTCAGCCCATTTTCCTGATTGGCACTTTAATTGTTTCTGCACAGAGATGGGCCTGCAAAGATGGGAACTAAACATAATAAGATATCTACAGCTTGGAAAGTGTTTATGAATCGCACGCATTTTCCTACAACAAAGTGTTTTTAATCATTCAGTCGTATCTAAAACATAACTGTTTTTCCTTCATAATGTGTTTTGCAGATTATTCCTTATGACCACTGAACAGCATAATACACTATCTGTAAAAGTTGTGGAAAGTTGTAATCCTTCACTGTGGGGTAAAAATGACTTGTCTACAGTTGGCAAATGTTTTTGAGGAAAAGTGGGATCAAGTGTAAATGACAGTGGTAGACATGAACATTTGAGTGATGCAACTGGGACAGAAGTCTGCATACCTCTCTGTTGTAAACTGTCTGCTGGCCTGGGGTCAGAGGGTAGGAGAGAGGCGTCTGGGCAGGAGGAGGTGGTGGAAGTGCTGATTCTTCAGAGAGCGATGTTCCCTGAGATGAAGGCAGCACAGCAGCAGGAGGAGGAGGAGGAGGAGGAGCAGGGAAGAGATCTATTTGACCAAGAGAAATATTATTTTGAATCCCTTGGTAGCAACTTATACAGATGCTTTTTAGTGTCAAGTAAGCACTGAAAATCAGGAATATACAGTAAGCAGAAAATATTAAAAATTATGATAATAATAAATTTGTATAAAAAGGTGAGAAATAGAAGCTTCGGAGGTTATGTTTTCTAAACATGTGTTTTTTTCTCATTGTCAAACTGAAGTGACACATTTTCTGCATGTTCATACAAAGCCAGAGTGTTCAAATGTAGCAGCTGTTCTTCTGAGATAATACTTTATCTTTTCCAGCCTGATAATACATCCTGAATCCAGTGCTAATGAGGAGAGGGATAAGAATGTTTTCCAATTAAAAGAGTAATACACAATTTATTGTTTGCACTCCTATAACGCTGTCAGACTCTCGATGGACATTTGTTATTTTTTCCCACACTTTCTTCTTACTTGTCACAAACTGGTGCCCACATTACCCACAATACAGCTTGATCGCTGACAGTTTGGTCAGTTTGTGGTGTTATGCTAGTGGCAGCTGATCTTGCCTCGAGCTGCTAGCTTCAAACTGAGAAGGATAGCGGACTACAGCAATCTGTTAAACTCATTTATTTCTAACTCCAGAAAATTATTAAAATTTTTAAAACTCGTCTTCAGTCCCAACTGAAGAAGACTCAAGTGACATCACCTGAGGCAAATTATCAGCATTTCTTAACTTCTTTTCACTCCCTTTAAACAATATTAGAGGTCTTGTAATGAAGGAAAGCAATATAATCTCATTTGTATTTGGGGAGCATCCAAAAAAGAGCAGCAATCATATATAGTAGTTTTAGAATCCCTCCACCTCAACAAATGATTCAAAAACAGACTTCTAAAACAAAGATATGGAAGGACAGGTCTAAAACATATTATATAGGTCAGCCAGGCCCTGGTGGCATCACTTACATAGAGGGTCATTTTCTGCATGTATTTTAGACGCTCTAAGTTTTGTCCAGTTTGCCTTAAATCCAAGATGAAAAATAGGTTTAGTCATGAATACCTGCAGCACCTCGATCGTCTCCTCGCAGCTTTACTCTGCCAGGTCCGGGTTGGGCAGGTTTTGGGCTCTGAGGGTCTGACGTTTGGGCCGTGGGCCCCTTAAAAGTCCGGCCTTTGCTGTCTATGCTGCCATAAGACTCAGACTGCTGGTCATCCTCTTTCTTGTGTCTGACGGCGGGGATGTTGTCGCTCGGCCTAACTCGTACAGCAGTGTGCGGCTTGTCTCTAACTGCACCACTGTGAGCTTGGAGGACAGGCTGCTGCTGTGTTACAGTGGCTCGATGAGGAGCAGCCAGAGTGATGAAGACAGAAGACACCATCCTTTTTGGTGGAGCTGCTGATGCCATGACTGTATAAAACCCACATACAGCCTATAAGGAGGACGGAACAATTATTGTCTGCACTCAAGACTGCTTGCAACATGTTTTATAGTTCTATGGAATCATAGGAACACACCACAGACTCAACACTACTTGATCTTGAGCAACCGGAGTGTAAGAAAAAGACATAATGATATTGAACTTGACACATTTTATTACTATCATCTCAATCGTGTTGATTCTAGGTGTACACACCCTCTCAGTCAACTTTGTGGGTGTGCTCACTATCACTTTAGAAAGGTAAACTCACACACTCACAGCTCTCATTCCCTATAATGAATGGTTTTAGAGACAGAAAGCACACATCTGAATCATTTGTTTCCTTTAAACCCACTGGCTCTGGCTGTGAGCTGCCTTTACATACCTGGGAGAAAATGTGGTTTGGAGACAGCTCAGTCTTTTCCTCTTTCTCCTTCCCTGCTCTGTATCTCAAAACTTCTGGTGTGTTTTCCCTCCTGTAAGCTGCCACTGAGAGAAGACTTTACTCCGGTAGAGAGGGAGACTATCAGCAGAAGGCCACTCCTTTTCCTTCTGCACCTCCCTCCCAGACTCTCTCGTCCGTCGACCCCTCCTCCTTCTCTGGCTGACTGACAATACCACCTCCCTCCCGACCGTAAAAGGTGAACAGTTAATCTCGGGCAAAGTGCAGTAAAAATGCATGACACATGCATCCACTATGAAAACTTGGCAGGAACACACAAACACACTGGCTTGCATGCATGTGGAGACACAAAGAAAGTCATGCAAGTCAACAGTTGGCAAACTAACCAAGAGCAAACAGTCAGACTTTTTTACAAATTAAATATACAATATCATAAAGTATCTCACGAGGTCTTTGCCCTTAAATAGACTCACTTGCACCTCCTACTCCTTTATCTTTTTGCATGCCAGCAGGATGTGACTGTACCTGCCTTTTTCTAGAAACTCTCTACCTCAAACTGTCCTCTTTCTCTCTCCTGTGCAGCTCTGCCTTATTGTTCTGTCAGCTTTATTTTCCCTACCTCCCTCATTGAGTCTGCCTCCTTTTTCTTCTCCCTCTTTCCTTCTTCCCTTCCCCCACTACATTATATCACTTTAGCCTTGACTCACTATCAGTGTCTCATGGCATTGCGTCCATTTGTGCCCCACCGACGTCTGATAATATGGGGTGGACTTCATCAGGCTCTGCTGATGGAGCTTCTTTGGTTGAATGCAGCTGTAAAGGAGCCGCAGCATTACAGTGCAATGAATCAGGGCATTGTGCAAGAGGAGATATTGGTGTATTAGGAGAGAGGGGGGGGGGGGGGGGGGGTGTCTGTGAGAGCCATGAAAAAGCTGCTTTGTTGTGTTTGGTGCTCTCCACCAGAGTGAGTCCAAGCGATATCAGGTCTACTGATCAGCAAATAGTGTGGTTAGTTTCTGGAGCCAAACCTTTTAAGGTCTACTTCCCTCCTGAGAGTCAAAAAGAGGGAGGATAGAGTGAGAAACTACATGTTGAATATGTGTCAGAGTGGAAGAAGAGAGAGGGTTAACAGGAGACGGAGATGAGGACAGTGATGGGGGTCTCTGTTGTTCCAGCTCTGTGGAAAGGAATGCTGCAGTGATGTCACGGTTGCAGGAGGGAGCATGCCTGCTGATGACACAATCCCCAGACCTCCATGCTCCTCCCCCCAACAGCCTAAATCCTCATCAAACCCTCTGAACCTCTTCACTGCTTCTACAGCATGAATTTTTCAAATCACTCATCAACATCACAATGTTTTTTTTTCTCAGTTTCATATACTTGGTTGAGCAGGACAACTTTTGAGACAGAATGAAGGGAAAGGAACAGGAAGAAACCCAGTACACAGGAAAAAACGACGACAATTGCATGTTCACAAATACAATTGATGTTGATTTCCTAACTGCAAACATCTGCAGTGGTGGAAAAACTACTTCTCAGGGAGAAATAGTTACTTCACCAAAATACCTCAAGAGGAGTAAGATTAGTAGCAACAAAGTTAAGGAGAATGTGATAGACAGAGGCTGAAGTATTCTGACTTTTAGTTAAGCGTCTAGCTTCAAAAATGCAAGATCCTACACTTCCCATAATGCAACTGGATAATGTATTTCATTAGAACCCACTGCATCATACCCACTTCTTTAAAACTTCACACCTGCTGTTTGTCATGCAAGCTTTTTGTTGAAAAACAACAAAACAAACTCATCTCATCTCCATGTGTAAAATTCTTTTGCTATTAATCAATGCTTTTCAAGTATTGTTCATTAATTTCTCATTTCTCAAAGAATACATCTCCAAAAATGTGCAGTTGTTGTCGAAGATTTGATCAACTTAAGCTAAACTAGAATTAATGTGTGAAAAGAGCCTCAAAAAGCCCCTCAATTGCAGCAATGAGTACTCTTTTAAATACTGTCCATCCCTGACCATATTACAGATTGTAACCATTTCAAAATACATTTTTTGACAAGCCTTCATCCTCTACTGGTGGAGGTTTATTCTGTTTACATTGTGTACGTTTCATGCTCATCTCTATTCTAATCAATGGCTTTATTTCATTTATTTGGTATAATTATGCTGTTTCTATAGATTAAAAAAAAACATCTTCAGTACAATATAATGAGCAGCTTGACAATACGTTGTCATGAATGTCTTCCATTACATGAGGCATCAAAACAACATAATATGAATAATCACATTGGCTAAATCCTCAAGTTAATACTGTAAATAAAACAGCAGCTATTGTACAGAATTACAAACTCCTCGTTTCCTTCTGTTTAAAACAAGACTCAAGAACAGTTAAGTAGACACGTTATCACAAGCGTGGCCACAATGATCCTTTTATTATTCATCAAGTATTGGCACATTTTGACATTTGAGGTAGTTTCTGGTCTTTGAGGTAAACTTCCGGTGCATCAGTAACGGTCATCTGATGAAGTTTTCAATGAGAGTTCCTTTGTTTTGTGACTGGAGCTCTGTTTTCTTCTTCTTCCTGAAGGTGAAGCGTGAGAATTTAATGTAATTTTCATATTTCTATACATTTATACAATGAATCCAGAAATAGTCATGTTGTAGAAATGGCAGTGTAAATGCAAAAAAGGAGAACCATAGAATATAGTTGTAAAATCACTGAGTGGGAAACCTTTAAGGCAGCTTTCAGCAGGTCCTGAGAGGCCAGCAGGCAGACTGCTTCACCCAGGAAACTGATGAGGACGTGGAGGACATCAGACCAGTGGCCCATCATCAACATGAGCACCAGTAAGCCTCCCAGTCGCATCACGACAGTTTGCAGCAGGGCCTCCCTGCCAGTCTGCCGCTGCTGATCCTCTGTGCAAAATGAAAAACACAATAACGATGAAAGATCTTTTGTGCCGTGTGACATGATTCTCGCTTGTTTTCTGAGATATGGGTTGTGCTTTTGATATAATTTGTATGGTTTGACTCATATATATTGTTTTTTTTGGCCTCATTTTATATTGATTGTTTTATTTTTACTTTTATTTGTCTATTATTTGACTGAGTTGTGTCTCTTTTATTTTCTGTCACTATGCTGGGTGACCAAACTAGTTTCCCCTCTAGGGATCAATGAAGTTATCTAATCTCATTTCAAATAATGTAATTTTCATATTTTCATATATCCAGAAGTCTTCTTAAAGGACCATTTTCATGTCCTATGTGGTTGACCAGACGATCACCTTGAATGTAGACCACCAACATGGTGTAGCAGAGTGTCAACGGAGTCCAAAACTTTAGAGCATCTTTCTGGGACAGGAAGTGGTCATAAACCGTAGCGGTGGAAGCCACAGCTGCTATAGCAAAGGCCAAGACAACTGCTCTTTGTAGTGAAGCCAGTATGGTGTGTCCAGAGGCCAGGAGGGTGATGCACTTCCCACAGTAACGCTCTCTGCTATGTAGTGGGTAGAGTCTGGCCACATGCCTCCACACACTGTGGCTGGCACTGGCCAGTGCCCAGCTGAGAGCAGCTGCCAGAAACAAGCTAAAGGAGCTGTGTAGAGCCCCCTGATGGAGGAAGTCAAGAGTACAGGTGAGGCCGCATCCCAGGGAAAACTGGCACTGGATCAGGAGCAGGTCTAGGCCTCTGCCTTTGGCATCCTTAGTTCATATAGACACAAGAGTGTGGGTTAAAATAAATTCAGGTCAGTGTAGAAATATCTGTATCTACACACAAGAAAAAACGGCGATAGTACACCCGCATGAAACAAGTGTAAATCAATGAGTTATCAGTTGCTCTGTTTATGTATTTGATAACTCACCAGTCCTGCTGACACCCAGGCAGAAACAGCTCTGAGAGAAAACTCCAGCACTATCAGAGAGGAAACCCTCAAGCCCACCAGAGACAGGAGGACCGTCAGGAACCAGAACTGCAGAACTGTTATCCAGTTCCCTCTCAGAAGATTGCCAGCTGAGAATGAACTCTGTTTGCTTTCAGTTTCCGTCTCAGAATCACTGAGTAGAGGGGACAATTAGACATGAATATACTTCACTTAAATACATTATGTAATTTCTCTCCTTTCTTATGGAATAAGCTCACCTGCATGTTTGAATAAGGTTGTAAATTCTCATCAAATGGCACAGCACTGATATTCCACATGCGCCCACGAGCCCTTTGAAGCATAAATAACATCACAGCGTAAAAAAGTTGTAAAGTAACTACTTTACACAGAAGTTCTGGGAATTTTTTATTTTTTTTAATTGTCATGAAGAAGAAAAACATACCGTCAACTCACCTTGAAAAAAACAGTCTATTGGGTTTGAATCAAAAGAAGGTCCCGTGATCCAGGCGAAGGAAAAAAACATGTTTGTTTTCCTTGTAATATCTCAACAAGGAAACACAAAAACGTGCTATGATCTCTCGCTCATGCTACTTCAATCTAAGAACCTGATCAGAAACTACAAGTCAGTTAATGTTGAATTACTGTGAACCCGACCGTCACGTTGCCTTTATTTTCTCCTCCTCATCGGGTCTGAGTGGGCTTTGTGTTTCAGGTCCAGAGGTCAAATGTTATCAGAGAATGGTTGTCAGTCCACATTCTTTCATCAGTTCCTGATGAAAGAATGTGAGACTCTTCTCAAAAACAGAGCAATCAGACACCTTTTAAATGGCTTTAAAGAAAAGCACACTTTGCTTACAATGCGTCTTAGATATCGTGCATTTGAAATATGCAGCACTTGAGTCCGAGGATACAAAATCAAATGTATTTTATGCTTTTTATACAAAATATTCTTTATTATTATTGTTATTATTATTATCATCAACCGTTGTTCAAAGGCTTGAAGTACCCGTAGGTTACATTTCTGTACATAAAAACCTCAAATCAATATGTCAGTAAATAAAAACAATCAATCCCATCAGATGTTTTTCTTTACATATAACGTACAAGGCAACTAGAATTATGTATTACACTGTGACAGCAGTCATACTGGGCTATGAACAACACAGAGCTTATGTTTCTATAATCCAGTCTTTTTTTTCATCTCATCGGCACTCAATTGATATGCCTGCAATCACACGGGTCTCCCTTCTCTCATTTCAGCTTTGCTGCGGTCCGACACATGAAAGCCTATTGCTTGTAAATTCATCATTTGAGGTATTAAAGTGAAATCTGATCGTTTAACAGCATATGAGAAATGTTATAGGAACTCTTGAAAATGTTTGTGAGAGTTTGTGCAACATTTGTCAGACAGAGTGAGCCTCACTTAAAGCAATAGTTCAACATTTTGGGAAATATGCTCATTTACTGTCTGCAAGAAAGCGTATAAGCACATTTACCAAAATGTCAAACATTTGCATTAAATTCAATGTCCAGAGTCCAGCCAATCATGTGCAGGATGATTGGGATGTTTTAGCTCCTTCCCTGGCTCTGGTTGTCCTTCACCGTGTGTTGCCTCATCAGATCCCAGAACAGCATGCTGAGCATTGTGTGTGGGGCCAAGCGCAGGAAGACAGGGCCCATGCCTTTATACAACCCCAGTAGGCCCTCGGCTTGGCACACCTTCAGCAAACAATCGGAAAATCCATGATACAGACGCCCCTGAACAGGCAGAGAAGGAAGACATAAGTCTCAGTATGTATTTGGTTAATCTTGTGTGCCATTGTTGAGAGCAACAACTAATTTGATGAAACAAGGTCACTCAAACTCACCTTACGAAACTCATCCACTGGCTGGTTGTAGAGCCGCGTACTAATGACGTCAAACGGTGTCATGCTGATCGCCACAACGACTCCACTTATCATGGCGGCTATCAAAGCTATGAGCCAGCTGTTTGGACTAAGCCACTGCAAGATAAGCAATGAACGGACTATGAACTGAGGTTTGACGTTTGGCTTATAGCGTGACGGCAACTGTTCGGGTACATGTGCTGTAAAAATGTCAGTTGTTTATCAAGTATACCTGGGAATGTGACACCCATTCCTTGGCCGAGGTGAAGGTTGCCAGTTGAGCAGCTGATCCCACCATGACTCGAGGCACGGCCCCGTTCACTCCTCTCCAAAGACCAAATAAACCGTCTCTTCTATAGATGGTAACAAAGGCATCAGAGACTCCCTGAAATGGAAGAAAACAAAGGCATTGGTGTGTTGGAAGTAGCAGATATAGCACCCAATGATACAGTGTATGTCTCTCTATCATGTGGTGGTAGTAAATAGTGATAGAAATGTGTCAAATCAATAATATAAAAGAATATAACACTCTGCATTACTTTTGATACTTTAAGTAAATTCTTCTGGTAATATTTACATACTTTTACTTAAAAATTTGAATGAATGACTTTTACTTAATTGAAGTATGTTCAGTGTGGTACATGTTTACCATGACATAATTCCAGATAAAACAACATACAGTGTCTTCATGCGTCTTACTTTGAGCGTGTCGTTCTTACCCGATGGTTATGCTGGTGGCCTACAGCTATGGCTTCCACAGTCTGAGCCTGCAGGTGAGTCTTCACCTATGAAGAAAATGCCAAAACTCAATCCAAGTAGGGACAAACCAGACTTGTTGTAACTAAGTCGGCTGATGTCTTACATGCCAGCATGAGTTATGCAACAATTACAGGTAGCTCTGCCAATGTTTACCAGGTGCGATTCACATACACAAACTTGTCTTCACATATTCCTCAGTGATTCATTCGCACAACACCTTAATGATCAACCAGCAGTTATGGCTCGCACAAAAACAAGTCTCTCCACTCGATCTCATACAGAATGTCAATACAATAACCTTCAGTCAACCTTCTTTTCCTTCACTCGCTGCCAACAGCCAGGAGCCAGAAGGAACTGTATATTTTGGCAGCAGTGGGTAGGTTGAAGCAACGGCCATGATTATATTTAGTGAGAGAGACAAACGTGTTTGTCAAACAATATTGTCTTTCCATGACGGTGCAAAATGTTGGAGCTGGTTTTAAATGACAGCTGAGGCAGGAAAGCAAAAACACTACTCCTCTCGAATGAGGAGGGACGTGCAGAGAACGTTCACGTATTGTGCTTTAAATCACGAGACAGGTGTGAATGTTAAAATATTATGAGTCTCGTCTGGTTTTATAGATGCAGAGTAAGTCTGCATGTAATCTGATAAACACTGAATGGGACATTAAAGTGGAGAGGTTGGAGGCGGCAGATGGATAACAAATATATATATATTATTCATTCATATGGACAAGATATCGTTAAGTCAGCTTGAGATCATATTGTTTGATCTTGTATTCTTTCATAAACTAGATTAGACGTCATGTGACTAACCACACACACCCATGTAATGTCACTTTGCCGAACGAGTCCTTGTGCTGGATAAAAATAGACATTTGAGATGCCTGTGAAACTGAGCTGGTTTGCTCCTCCTGTCTCCGATGTGATGTGATGGATTACATACGCTTGTTCAGGCCAATCGCAGAGGGTTTGCAATGTCATGTTTGAATTGAAGTTTTCCATTTTCTTTGCATGACACCCCTCATTTATTTCACACAGTTAGGAGGTTGTTGTTGTTTACCATATTTTCCCTTTAAACTACCTTTTAGTAGCATCACCCTTTAGTGGCTCAAGAGAGTTATTGTTAAAGAATAAGTGGACATATTTTCTATATTTAATCAATACTGACGTATCTGCATGTACATTGTAAGAGTTATTGGTCGCTGTCATTTTTCCTCTTGTCCATACATGGTCTCGAAAGGATCTCTTTCTGAGGTGTACAAATGTACAGTATTTTTACAGCAAACAAATACAGTTTCAGTGTACATGTGGATAAGTGAGTGTGTGAGTGAATGTTAACTATATATATATATATATATATGACTGATATGAACTATGAACACCTCTTGCTTTACAATGTTGCACAAGCGTTGTAGTATGTAAATCAACAATGTAATATAATGTTACAAAAGAGCCTGTCGCTAATCTGTGTACAAAGCTGACATATGTAATATGTTTTATGTAGATTTAGACATGGTCTGATTCCTGGTCGTAGTTGGAGAACACTGTGTTGGTATTATTCAAACAGTTGGGTCAGGTTGCATAAAACAGTGTTGCTCTGAAACCTTTTGCATAATATATCTGAATCTTGCCACAGAGGACAATTACTCATATTGTCTTTCCACATCAGCTTCCTTGTCGTCTTTATGTCAGTTGCTTGGCTGTTAATTAACTTTTTGGGGGTTTTGGAGGTTGAGTCTGTTGAGTGTGACCTAATCAGACACTCTCACTGGTAAATGGGGTTTCACACACACACACACACACAGACAGCACAAAATTACATCATGATTGACATCTCGTACAACATTTGGGAGATGTTCACAAGCAAAACATACTCTCATTCTCATAGTTGTGACTGTGATCTTTTGGACATACATCTTTGTTATGTACAGTAAATGGCCACAATATAACTTTAACTGCAAATGGCTTGTAACACTTATTGAATTTACAAAGGAAAACCTATAGAGCTGACCTATAATCAGCAATAGGGGCCAGGAACCCATCAAGATTACCTGTAGTTTTGCCTCTAAATGTTTTTTAAAGTCTGAAAAGGATCAAAAATCACTTCAAATGAACTGCTCAAAACTCACAGACATGCACCCTGTGATGAGGGGCCAAAACCAAAACAATATGGGGGACCCCTGCGATAGAGGAAACACTTTCAGTAAACCTACCAGGTATGCAGGAGAGGAAATGAAGGCACCCAGCGCCCCGGCCCCGGCCCCTGACAGCAGACTGCCCCCGTGGAGCGAGGTGATACCCAGAGCTTCACAGTAGGAGTAGGAGCCCAGCCTCACACCGTTCATCACACCCTGGTACATCAGCCCGACTGAGAGCCCCTTCTGCAGGCCCCGGAGACCGTCTGTGCGGCCCACCACCCAGAGGGCCTGCAGGGCTCCGCGGTAGTGTCTCTGGTAGGATCCCCGTGCACGAAGCTCTCCCTGAAGCTGCAGACGGGTCTTCACAACCTCCAGGGGATTGGTGAACACACAGGCAGCGCAGCAGGCCAGCGAGCCCAGGGCAAAGTCCAGAGGAGGCCAGACACCTGGAGGGGGTGGCGAGGGTCCCAGGACGGCGCGGGGTACAGCAGAGACAGTGGATGCCATCCTGTGGGAAAGCTGGGCACCAAACACAGACTCTTCTGGTGGAGTTTTCAGCAGCTGAGCACTGGTCATCTCTGTGAAGTGTTTGTTCTGTCAGTTCTTGTAATGACTTGTCCCCCTTTTGTCCGTTTGTTAGGGAACAGAGAGAGTGTGTGGCACTTGGTGCAGACCAAGGAAGTCAGAAACAAATGCTATCAGCTTTTGTGATAACTTATTTGACATCTTTTTGCATGTTTCTCCCGTGACACTGACCGCAGGTCAATGCGCCTCTTTGGTGTCCTTCCGCAGGGACTTTTTCAGGGAGCTTTCTTGACCGTCTGCACCATCTGCAAGAGAACATGTATTCATGTTGAGGTAAACATTTAGTGGAGTTTACACAAGGCTCAGCCCTACGTCTGAGGACAGAGCGCTTGTGCGTCAAAGAGGAAGACTGAGAGGAGTCCTGTGGGAATGGAAACATTAGGATTTAGCTCACATGACAGACATATTTTAGAAACCTGTCTACTACACCTGATAAAACAGAACATTTTTAAGAGCAGACAAGTGTACACACAAGATCACCTGACCGTAACAAGTCACATGCCACTCCACTCAAATTCATTCAAACCAGCATACAACTACACACAGCCACAGTACAAGTACCAGAGGCAAACACAGTCAATTAGAAAACTCCTCTCACGTGCCTTTTGAAGAATTATAAAATATCTCTTGAATTTGGTTACTTCATTCAGAAACTGTGCAGCTCCATTCTCCCCCTCTCCCCATTGTAAACATGTGTCCTCAGCACTTTCATTGTCAAAGTCTCCTCCCACCGTCTCTCACCAGACCCAATACAGTGTCAGTCCTGCCTGCCACGTCACCATTGCCTGGAGTCTGCACCAATCAAATGGCTGGGATCCACACTGCCCCCATTCTGGACCGATAGGAGCTCTCTGGGTAAAAGGTTGTTGTTCAAAGAGAGGGGGTGGAGTGTCTCGGGGAAAGGAGAGCTATGGACCCATGCTGTCTAAACAAGGTTAATCTGCTGAAGAGTGTGTGGATAATCTCATAAACCTGTGCTGTTTTACCTCTGAACCAAATGATTTAATCAATTATATTCTTACATTAACGACTGTTTTAGAGATAAGTTGTGCGGAAAAATAGAGCAAACAGGAAGATGATTAGGTAGTTCTGTTAACAACAAACACATGTTCAGAAGTATTTCTTGTGACGTGGGCTATGAATTACATTTGGAACAAATGATGCTTCTTGTTGAAATGACTCATCAACGTGCATTTTTCTTTATATGCTGTATGCAAAGGAGCCACTAGGGGGCGCTATATGACAGCTCTACAAAGTTCAACTACTCAGATTTCACTCCCAAGGCCTCTGAATGAATTAATGAGCAACAACTGAGTTCATTCTTGATCTTGGAGACAGCAGCGGCCTAAAACAATCTCACCACAACCATTAATGTGTAGCTGTCCGGTAGATGTCGAAGGTTTCACATGGTCTTCCTCAGCAGATGCATTTCTTGATCCCCTTAAAGACTTCTTCTGGAAACAGCCGTAATACTTTGAATCTTGTAAACTGAACACCTAATGTTGGGAAATTGAATAACTACTAAATATTCTGCCTCATTGTGTAAACACCACTGGATTCATACCATTGAAAACTTAAAAACAAAAAACATCCATCTTTAAAAGTTCCCAGGTAATTTTAGTTTAGCTATTTCAAAATGCCCGAATCACATATTCAGACAGAAAACTAGAATAACTTAAATAAATCAAGTTGCTAAAGTTAGATTGGTTGAATTTAAAATCAGACATGAACGTCCAGGCAACCGAGTATACTAAACTTAAACATGTCAGTCACATGATCAAAGGAAGAGTTCAGATGAGCTCAGGTCTTATGGATGGATGTAGAGATGAGACAGGTTGTTCCCACAGAGCAGCTGATATGATTACACAGAGCTGGTGGTGCACAGATTCAAAACAAGTATTGACAATATCACACCATATCCATTCAGCTTGGGTTTAATTACATTGAACTATGGTCCGAGTCTGATGTCAGGTGTCCACACTTTGTTTGGTTTAGCGTTTCACAGTCTTATTCACAATTTGGATTATTGAATCTAAAGGTTTTTTTTTTTATATAACTATAACTATATTAAATTACTTACTGGAAATGTCAAAGTAGCTGTTAAATGTCATATTTAGCTTTTCAGTTGCTCATAAAAATTCAAATAATTACATATTTTCTTTGCTTCTATAGTTCTCATTCACATCTGCTCGAGTTCATGCAAAAAAAAGAGGAAATATAAACATCTCAATATCTCTGCGACCGCCATCAGCTGATGAAGATTGTGTTACAGGATAAAATCCCAAACAGCAGCTAATGTAAATGTCAAAAAAAAGCAGAAACATTTGATAAACACGCATCAAAAATATGAACAGTGTGACAGAGCAGACATGGAGGCCTTTATTGTTTAACTATGTTCATAGTACAGTGCCACATCTCTCACCCACCATGGCCCCTGACACACATTAGTCAACAACTTTTAACCACCACCGTGCACACAACACACACACACACACACTCTGTTTTCAATGTAAACATTGCAGGCTTAAAGAGTGATACAAAAAGCAAGGTAGTCGTCAATCGTTTCCGCGTCCGTTATCCCAGAGTTCCTCTATTTCAACAGTTCAGAAGAGGGCGAACAGAAAAACTGAAATGTTATCGTTTGGCTGATCCCCTTTTGGGGAACAACAAAATAATGTCCTGTTCTCTCTCATCACTGCAGTCAGTCAGTCAGTCAGTCAGTCACTCTCTCTCTCACACACACACACACACACACACACACACACACACACACACACACACACACACACACACACACAGGATCTTCATTCAACCAAATGTATTTATCAAAGTGTAGTTAAAGTGTTTTATTTCTGAATGCTTGTAGTAGGCAGAAGGGAGAATAGTGAATTTATGAAGTGGAACATCTAACAATGACTATGTTCTTTTCCCATAATCCTCTCTATAGGAAAAAGGCATTGTGTGTCAATTCCCTTGTGTGGTGACAGGGTGAAGTCTGTCTTCCCAATCCCGCCTGGAGCTGCATTACCTTTTGGCTCGTACAAAGTACAAGGCGTTGGTTTTAGGGTAGTACTTCACATTCTGTTTCTTGTCCATTAGGCCCCCAAAAATGATGAGCTCACCCCTGCCCTGTACCACTGTGTGAAGGCTGGTCTCAGGAGGCCCTGTAACTGCAGCAGGGGTCCCGCTCCCATAAACTCTCCAGGACACCACCCGAGCAGACTTGGCCCTGGACACATCCAACACGTACATCTGCATGGGCTTGCAGTTGAGAGACTGGTACAGAGGTTTCCCTACGTTCAGGCTTTGGGGCGGGTGATGGCCAAGACGCCGTGCAATAGGTGGGATGGCGTGTCCATCAGCTCCAGCAGCCTGTGGAGGGCTGGAGGATGAAGACGGAGGGGTTCCAGGAGGACCCGCTCCTCCTCCACCACTTCCTCCTACAGGAGAAGCCCCCTGTGTCTGAGGGGAAGGCGATGACGATGAAGACGGTAAAGATGAGGAAGATTTGTTTTTCACTGCCTCCAGACCTCGTCGTAAGGCAGCGGGGGACACTGCCCCCGGGGGAGTGTGTGGGGAGCCTGCATCAGGTGTATGCAGGCCATTGGTGCTGGGCACCTCAGGGTGGTGAGCGGCAGAAGGGGGAGACTCCCAGCCATAGTCTGTGGAGCCAGGTGGGAGAGGGCGAGAGGAGGGAGATGCAGCCTGGGCTGGGCTGGTCCTTGGTGAAGGGGAGGATCCATTTAACAAGGGGGGAAGTGGAGGAAGAGGAGGGCTGTCTGGGCCTTGTGAAGGAGACGGCTGTTGGGATGAGGACGGGCTGCCTCCTCTGGCACTTCCTCTTGCTGAAGGCCGAGGTCTCAGCGTGCCCCATCGGCCGTTTACACACGGAGCCTCTTCGACAGCTCCCAGGACAACACCGGCAGCCCCGCTACGAACAGGAGACTGGGAGCGCAGGGAAGGCGGTTCGGAGCCCAGAGGGCCAGGTGTGGCACTTATTGGGGAGGGCCGAGAGTTAAGACTCGGGCTGAGCGGTGCACGGCCAGATGGAGCCTGTGAGAAAACCACCACACACTGGCCCACCTTCAGGTAAATTAACAAAATGAGAAAAAACGACACATTAGTGATCATTCTTATGCTCAGAGAGACACACACAGAGAGACAGAGACACACACACGCGATAGGATTTACAGACACTTACTCTACAAGCTGGGTGACACCACAGCTCCGGCGCCCCATGCTCCTCGTTTTCCACCTTCAGCTGCTGCCACCTCCATGGTGGTGCATCCATGTGGAGGAGCCAGGCATCTTTAAGGAGCTTTAACACACAACACAAGAGGGTAAGTCAAAACTCCAGTCACTTAAATTCACATGGAACATTTTCGAGAAGATATTGATGTGCTGTTCTGATACTAGAGTGGTAAAAAAAAAAAAAAAACCTTACTGCATTAGGACCGCCACAGCCTCCCAAGATGAGCAATGTCTGATCATCAATCACAATCTAAAAAGACAACATTTAAAATTTCATATGAAAAAGTTAAGTTGAAGTTTCTGGCACGTCAAGTGCATGAAGATGGGAAAGCAGTCTTCAAAGGTCAAAACTCCAGCGACACTATAAATAACTTCCTTGTCAGATCTTGTTAAGACAAGTTGAAATGAGCACTAATACTAGGAGGAATGGTGAATTTTGTCTAGCTTGAATGTTGAAGCTTACTTGTGATTGGCCTCCTCGCGGGTGAGGTGATGGGCCAGATATAGGTGGTTTGGACCAGGACCACTGTTCCAGATCCAGAATCCAGACTTCATTACTCCTGATCAGAACCATCAGAGGGGACGACATTATGGTGAGGTGCGACAGCCAAAGATATTAATAACAAATATGCTCTTAACAAAGGTTAAGGCTTAAAGCTGAAATATGTAGGGTTTACAAACAACGGGGTGGAACACCTTTGCAAACACTAGATGCCCCGTCATCGTTGCAGCTAAGCTTGGATCATTTGTAATTAAATACAAGTAATACATTCATACATTTGCCGTGCTCCTAGTGATCCCCCAAAAACCACCATGGTGTTTCCAATCACAGAGGAGGAGTGGCCAGCCATAGGTGGAGGTCCATGTGTTGTTACTATACAGTTCCACCTGAGAAAGCAGAAGAAGTGAATCACAAGGGAGGAAATGATGACCAAAAGTTAAACTGTACAAAGTTTGTCAGTCACTTGTCACAACTCCAGCCTTTAACTCCCAGTGCTGAAGTGTCTCTCACCAGTTCTTTGAAGGAGAGTAGGTGTGGATTTCATCAAAAAACCTCTCTGGTTGGTGCAGTGGATATGGGCTGGGACGAGTCCATCCCCCGAACAGCACCAACAGATCTTTGTGCATCACTAGAGTCGCCCCAGCTTTAGGAGACGGATAAGAGCCTGGAAGAGGAAAAGGTGATTCAGATTGTAGCTACATATGTCTGAAGTTGTATGTATGTATAAATAATCTAATAAACATATACCAAAAAAATGTTAGTGGAGGGAAAAAAAGGAAAACATGGCAGTAAAACTACGTAATTATTTTGGCCACCTCACATTCAAGTGACAAAATAAATTAAAAAATGTTCATTCACACGGCCAAATCTCCCACAGAAAATGATTTTCGCACACACGTCTTCCTCTTAATCACTAGCGTGCAATTTCATAAAAGGCTAAATAAGCTTTAAAGTTTACAGAAATAATTATTTACTACAATCTCATTTCATCCGTGCTTCTTTTTTTTATTTCCACCTCTTCAAATACTGTGTACTCAGCTGCTTCTGCTGAGCATCTGACTACTATAGTCACTTAATGTGGTTTGCCCTCCCACAGTTCCCCTTATATAATCCCCAAATGGAGTCTTTTTTTGTTTTTTACCAGAGCTACATGTCGTAAAAAGGACTCAGATTTCTGTTTCCTGCTAGCAGCCTACTCGTACCTGAGGCTAAAGGGCGGATCCATTCCTTGCTGTTGAGGTCAAGTCTCCACAGATCATTGAAGGCAGCATTGCAGCTACTCTGAGTGCAACCCCCGAATACATACATGGACTGGTTTGAGTCATAATAGCATGCACCTGCAACCAAACAAAGAACAATTAACAGCAAATTATAGCAAACAGTCAGTGTTAGGTGTCTGCTAGCCTACAGGGCAGTGAAAGGAACAGCTCCTTCCTATCTCCAGGCCATGGTCAAGCCCTACACCCCCGCCCGACCACTTCGCTCTGCTACCTCGGGGCGACTGGTTGCCCCGTCGCTCAGAGGTCCCTGCGGCCGATCGACCCGGTCGCGGCTGTTTTCTGTCCTGGCCCCCCCAGTGGTGGAATGAACTCCCCACTGACGTCAGGACGGCAGAGTCGCTGCCCATCTTTCGGCGCAGGCTGAAAACTCACCTCTTCAAGAAGGCCTACCCTTAGCCTCCCGCTTAGCACTTACTTAGCATCTATTGTATTCATACTAGCTTATTGCACTTATTGTTTTTATATTAGTTTGCTGCACTTATTGTATTCGTTTGTTTCTGCACTGTACGTTGGCTCTGGTTTATGCTCTTAGATGCTTGTTTGAGGAAAGGACATGCACTTATTACTTCTGGTGACTAGTTGTTCTCTCGAAAACCGATGTTGAATACACTTATTGTAAGTCGCTTTGGATAAAAGCATCTGCTAAATGACTGTAATGTAATGTCTTTTTTTTTGCTTTAGTGCCAAGAGCAGTAAAACCAGTGTCCTGCCTTTCTAAAGGAGTAAATAGATGTCATGCATATGTCAGTGCATTAAGCTACAGCACTTGACACTGTGACATGTGCACAATTCATTGTTTATCACAAAAAACTGTTGATAAAAAGGTTTGCATCAGCTTGATGCTGAAAACAGAAACGCGTGTTGCTTCTGTAACACTAAATCTATCATCAAAGTGTCTGGCGTCGCTCTTCTCATGAATCACTAATCTTGCACAGGGCAGAAGATATTTTATATGCTGCACACTGGACTCATAATCAAATAAAATGTATTCTCACTCTGCAATTTTGGGTCATTTTTGTCACTGATGTTTGAAATGAGTACACATTTAGATACACAATCACACTTTTGTGTTGCCCTCTTGATTGTGTTTTATGGAGAAAAAATACTGACACTGGTCTGATCCACAGCTAAAACCGCACTGAAACACTTTCAGATTTTGAATGCATAACCAGAAGTTCTGTATTTTTGATATTCTGGGAAAAAAAGTTCGTACTTGACGTGTAACTCATTTTTAACATGAAATGTTATAACGCAGCATATACTGACTGTGTGAGAAGCGCTGAGTGATCGGGGTTCCTGGATACGGGTACGTGCGACTTTCCCACTGGATATTTCCCTCCTGGACAGCTCTCAAGAAACCGTGGTAGCACTGATAAGCAACACCTAGTTAAGATAAAACATTAGTAAACAACAGGAACACAGAAAAGTGGATGAGGAACTCATTTAAATTACTTTAAAATGTTAAATACATTATCAAACGTTGCCTCTCCATTTCACTGCTCTGCTTGAAGTGCAATGCCCACTTCCACTCACTATAAGGTTAACCGGTCCGCCTTAAGATTCAGTTTCATACAAGGCTACGTAAACATGAGGCCTACCTTTAATGAGGCGATACCACTGCTTACACACGAGTGCAGCAGTCTTGTGCTCCTGGTAAGGTGAGAGGAAGGACAGAATGTATTCAAGAACTTCCTCTGGCAACTCCTCCATTGTTCTCCCCCCTCCTTTGGCACCGAAGTCCATGTTCCCTTCTTGTCGGCAGGACCCCATGTTTGCCTCCTCTTCCTCTGTTATCCCAGCAGGCTCCGCACCATCATCCTCTGTATCCATGGCAACAAAGCATCCATCCTCATTATCATGGGAGCGGGACATTATGGTCTGTTGAGACATGGGGAGACATGCTAGTGATACGTGTTCAGCTACAGTTGACTACAATTCTTCATGTATTCTAATAGACTCAGTAGACTAACTCTAATCCACCTCAGCCCTAACTGTTCTTTATTTGATCTTTGAGAGTCAAATGTAAAGAGGAAGAAGACTTTGGACTAAATTGGAATAAATTTGTTCTTACACAAACACAAAATGACACTACAAAGCGATGACAACCACCATAACAGTTTTTTTAAGCATTTAGTTATCGGCAGTTTTAGTTGTCACATCCATTGTCTGAAACGGGTGGTGCCCTTTCTAGACTAGAGTGTCCCTCTTATACCGTTAGCTACATCTAACTAGCTGTCGTTAGCCATCACATATCTAATAAAATGTTGGGTTGCTAATGCTAAATACCCCTTAAAGCTAACTACCTAGGAAAATACACAAAACTCAAGACAAGTCAAGTTAAGTAAACAACCACTGGCCTATGCTACAAAACACCGACTAACCGAAATATACACGCTCCTTAGAGAATACATGCTAGCAGTGGCTAACGCTAGCTAACTGATCATGAGCATCAAGCTAACGTTGGCTAACATTAACGAATCTCTAGCTAACGACGTGACGTTATAGCAACAGCTTACGCGTTTTCTTAAAAATATCTCTGCTTGACAAAAGGTGCGAATCCCAACTTCTTAAGTATTTAAATGTCGCGAGAACCTTTCAGGGCAACAGTCTCTTCTAACGTTACACCCAACTAACAAGCTAGCTAGCTGTTATATTCAGTCTTGGTAATCTATGCTAACGTTAGCACGAGTAGAGGCTGTGAGCAGGAATTAACTAGCTCCTCTAATGTCAGATAAATGTTGTCAGTTTCGCTCCTTGACTGTTGCAGCATTATTAGTACCGTTGTTGTAGACGGGGTCTATTTCTGGCTCTGGGTGTATTTCCTCTCCTTCCCCCCGGTATCAGCTCCGGAGGTTCCTCTGCAGCCTCCAAACAGTCGCCATCTTCTGCTCCGTGAACAGCGTCCTCCGCAGCACAGCGACGCCGTTGCAGCAGCTGCGGAATATCTGTGGTAGCAGGGTGGGACTGTGTGTGGGTTTGTGTGTGGTAGCAGAGTGGGACTGTCTGTGGTACCAGGGTCGCACTGTCTGTGGTACCAGGGTGGGTCTGTGTGTGGTACCAGGATGGGACTGTCTGTGGTCTGTCTGTGGTACCAGGGTGGGACTGTCTGTGGTACCAGTGGGTCCTCTGTACCTAACACTGCTCCCCCCAGCACCTTTGGAATAACCCCTATATAATTACCCAATTTTAAAATGTAGCAAAGAAAGAAAAAAGAAAGAAACTCTTCAAGTTCTTTGACATTAAGTGACGTCTCCTCCACCTGTAACTTCATCAGACCTCATTGAAAAAAATGTTGTTTCAGGAACTGCATCTTGTAGATCTCTGCACCCTGGAATTAAATGTATATGTAGTCTATCTGTTTTTAAAGCGCTGAGCTATATAATACTATAAAATAATGTAATTTCATACTCCAGTGTTGGCCAGCTAACATTTAAAGTTTCTCCCATACTTTTTTGATATGCAATGTATTAAGTTGATATATATATATTTAATGAACCCTGCATATATAACTGGTTTCTTTACTGTTGCATAATGACCAAATTCTTCAATCACTATATTGATGATGTTTTAAATCATGTACAAACATCTACAAACAAACTATTAAATAATAAACTAATAGAAATCATTACTTACAAATACATTTCAGAAATCTTGTTTTATTACAGTATGTAGGCAGCCACTCGAATTGTATATATGTCATTCATATGAAGTACCAAAAACCATGGCAATTTCATCATCAGATATACAGTTTCAGGTACACATGCACCTTCTTTATTAGAAAAGGGTAAAAAGACTTGTGGTTTAGACCTGCAGAATGAGAGATGCCAACACTGTACAAAGACAGAACAAACATTGCTGCCGCAATTTTGACATTTGTGGGGCAGGCAAAGTGTTACATCTGCAGTTAGTTTGTAGCCACTAATGTCTTCCATTGAAGAGGTATATCTATGCAACACAAAATAATTGGGAATGTAAGCTAACCATTCTTTAATTCTGAATATTTGAACTATAAATCCAGATTTTTTTTAAATGGCCTTAATATATTAGCCTATGTATTAAACAATTAAAAGTTAAAAGATAAACAACTGTCATGCTCACTTGTATGATAGTGAAGTGCTTGATTCTAATATAATACACGATTCATGGTTGTTCATATTGGGAGATAAATGAATCAATGACTAATCTTAAATAGGCTAGAGGCCATTTTATTTGCCATACACTGGAATCATATGCATGTCCACATATGATCACAATCCATTAAAATTACAGAAAAACATTTATTTTTATTATTTTGAAAGAGTTGGCTGTACGTGTTATATTAACGTAAAGTCTATAAAGACAATATATACGTAAAGACAATATTTAGCAAATTCCTGAATAAAACTGTTCAACTTCAATTTTTAAACAGATCTATTGTACATATATGTTTACAACATTTTTATTATATTTTTGATTCTTGGCTGTTTGCAGTAGCATGCTTGCTTTTATCTTTTATTTTCTCTTACTGTGTTTATTATAAACACCAAACACCAAGACGACAAATTATGTGAAAACCTAATCAGTAATAAATGTTGGGATTTCTGATTCTGGTGCTGCATTCAAGTCACTACCGTTTATTTCCCTATTGTAACTTACTACCAGTTGTATCCATAGACTGTATATAAGAAGGGTTGTAACTACAATGTTTGGTATTTTTTCTAATCCCTCCAAACAGACAGTTGCTATTCCAGATAAATTACCATCATAGTCATATTTTGTCAATCAGAATATTTCACTTTGGGCCTTTATGTGTTGTATTATGTAATTTATGTATATTTTGTTCAATGACCCCGTGGTGTTTCTGTCAGTGCCCCTGTCACATGAACGCAGCATTTCCCTTCAACAACACCATGTTGAACACAAACAGCCTCATCTCGGCGCTATATTCCACTCTCCATCAAAAACAACGACAGTGTGGTGGAGTAAGACTATCTCTCACTATTTAGGGACACACATAAAGCGTTAGGCTGTTGAATTCGCTTAGCCAGATTTAAATTACTTTATCTTGCCAGGTTAATTAGTTGTGATAGAAGATAGCAAGTTGACGCTAGCTAAGCTAACGTAAATATAACGTCATTTCCCTCCACGGTTTAACGGTTAAACGTTAGGGGCACTGATTAACGTCAAGGGTTGAATCCTAGCTAACCGTCAACTATCCAACACTACTGTGTACGCTGTGTATTTCTGTCTGAGCGGTGTGTGGACGACACCAGTGCTCGGTTGATTTACCGAGGTGGACGTTACGCCAGATTTAAAGTAGCAGGCAGCTAACGTTAGGGGATTGCGCTCGGTAGAGCATTAAGCTAACACGCGGCCAAGCAGCGGGTTGAGAATTAGTTTATTCCGACTTCACCCGTCACATATACCCGTGAGATTGAGCTCTCTGCGGGGGTCTGCCTGAGCTCCGTCCACCGTCCCATGCCCTCTGCGTGGCTGGGAGAGAGTTAGCCGGTGGAGCCGAAGCGGTTACCGACCAGCAGTCCTGTTAAACATGGAGGATGAAGAGGTCGCAGAGAGCTGGGAAGAGGCAGCGGACAGCGGGGTGAGAACCACTAACGTTGGACAATTATTCGTTTCAACCAGATTATAACTTGATTTTTAGTTTGCCCGCCAGGCAGCCGCATATCAATGATTTTCGATACCCTGGATGTGTCTGGCGCTTGAATACCTGATATAAACATGTTATTTATTTGTTTTCCTATCAAAGACATCAGCTCGTCTTCCTGGCTGAGTCCTGCAGGCCTCGCTGTCCCATAACGACATGGGACTTAGCCTGGCTTTATGTCATTATATTTACGCAACAACATTATTTTATGATGTGTGGAAATCCACAAAAATATCCACAAAAATAATGAATCTTTACAAAGTCGACTTTTCTCTATAATTCCCCCATTTGTTTAGACCCGCCCATTGCGGAAATGACAGTGTGCGTTGAATCGTTACAATACCGTAACAGTTTAGTATGTTCAGGGATTTTTCAAATACTGCTGAGACTGTAAGCAAATATATAAATATCAGCTTTTTCTAGCGTGTGTTGGTAGATTGAACCAGTCTGATTTGTTTGCGTCAACAAACTCATTTGTAAAGACAGTCTTATTGCTGTAATCCTGTTTTTGTAACATATCCCCTGTAATCAAATTGGCTGAAAAAGCATGTCTATGTCATTTTTGTGACTATACACAAAGTTATTATTGATATGAAACTGAATGTAATAGTTGAGTTGCTGCATTCTATTCCATATTTATTTTGAGCAAACTGAAATCCAGCAGCTGGCGATGTGTTGATTTGAAATGACCCTGAGATATACAGTTTAACCTGTAAACTTTGTATTGGCTTAACACTAAAGACGAATTTCAACTTCTGTCTGAAAAAGTATGTAACATGTAATCAATCACATTTGCTCACCCCTGCCTTCCACCCTGGTAACATATGAATACAAAAAATAATCAAATACTGCATACAGTGTATAGTAAAAGCCATAATCTGTACATAAATCATATGTATGTGCAGTATTTAAGAAGATTTCTTAATTAACCTGTAGCTATCGGGTCGCCCCCACTCCATTTAAAACAAATAAAATAAAGATCATACTGTCAATATAAAAACAAAGTAGATACACAGTTGCTATACAAACTCATTTCTTAACAAATGTACTTTGATGCCCTCCATTTGATATTTCAGAGTTGATTCTTGTTAATTCTCGATCACTTATTAGTGAATAGAAGTTCAATAAATCCCATACCACGATGAAGGATTATTGATTTGTAATGATTGAACTGTGTCATAACATCTTTCAAACGCATTTTTGAATAGATTCAAGCAACCAGTCAGTAACTTAGTAAACCGAATCTCCTGAACATGATTGCATACAGGTCATTGAGAGAGATATTTAACTTGTTTGACAGTAATACAAATGTAATAAATGTTTTTCTCCTCAGGAAATCGAGAGACGACTTGAGGCTAAACTGAAAATAAATCAGGAGGCAAAGTAAGCAAAGAGACAATTTATCCAAAAAATTTCAATACATGGTAAGATTGCATAGAAGTTTTTTTTTCTAGTAATTTTATTCCCCTCACTCGTGTTTTCTCGAACAGGAAGTCCAGCTTGGGTTCGGGTGGCTCACCTGTTCAAACTGCCATTGTAATCCAGGATGACTCTCTGCCTGCAGCACCCCCACCACAAATTAGAATTTTGAAACGTCCGTCAAATAACGGTACCGCGGGAAACCTTGCGTCCTCGACTCGTCCCTCTCAGCAGATGAAGTCTTTGGCCCAGCGGGAGGCCGAGTACGCAGAAGCCCGGAGAAGGATCTTGGGCAGTGCGTCTTCAGATGATGCGCCTCAGGAAAACCCTTCCCAGGACAGGTAAGACATTACAACAAAGAAGAATAACATTTCATTTGCAAAGTAGTGGAAAAACACTGATATTGATTTCTCCTCATATCATTAGGCCAGCTCGTATGAGTGTGCAGCAACCATTGGAACCAGTTCGTCCAAACAATCATGTGATCCGCCAGCCCACCGGCCCAGATGGCACCTCAGGCTTCAGACTCTTCAGATAAAGAGGCGCTACCTGCTGCAAGGAAACAGCTGTCTCCCTGAGAGGGCATACAGGGTGGCAGTTCAAGGGGTTGTGTGTGATATGACGAGCAGAGTGGTGGGATGACACCAAATTCGACAGACATTAGAAACATGAAGACATAGCATGGATTGAAATAAACTCCTCCACCCTCTATCTACTCTGCTTTCTGGCATGGTCTTTGCCTTTCGCCTTGTCTCTTCCTTCTGTGGAATGTGCAAGGGGCTAGCAGAGATCAGCCAAAGATCTGAAACCCCTTCTGTTCCACACTGTGAACAGGCTTTTGCCTCACATCCCTACACACTGTGATACTCTGATGTTCCATGAGGTGCCCTGCGTTTTTACGTACGATTGGCCGGCCGAGTGCCAGGGCACCGGGTGCCTGTCTCTGCAGTGAGAATAAGGGGAGCTCGTGAATCTGTGGGAATTCCCCAGAGAGGTGCACGCGAGGGAGCTGGCCTTTCCACTGACGGAGTGTGGATCGTGGCTGGGTGTCCACCGGGTCGCTGGCCTCAGTTTTTTTGGGGTTCAGCGGAAATTAAGTGTTTGACAGTGCTGAGAGCTTTACTGTGGGTTCAGCAGCTTGAGTGAAAGGTAAGAAAAAGTCAGACTGATCCAACACTTTGAGTAAAAGGGCACCGTAGTTTCAGAGCAATGGCAGAGGCCCAGAGCAGCATGTCCCACAGGGCAGAGGCCTCTGTTGGGCTCTGGTGGCTATTACAGAAATGCCCGGTGGGCACACAGCCTTTGGCCAAAGATTACAGATCGGAAGGTCAGAATGTCACTAAATCTAAGTTTATTCAAGCAATAAAGACGAAGTCACTCCCTGGATCGTTTTTTTTTACATTTGCCCATTTACCTGTGCTGTGTTTTCAAATCATGTTTTGTTTTAAACAGCTGACAATGTTTCTTCATGTTTGTGTTTAATTCAGGAGATCAGTAGTGTATCAGAGATTAAATGATGTAGCCTCCATACCAAACTTTATTGGTAGTCATTTTAAATTAGATCAAAGTGGATAAAAACAACAGATCTTGATTATTGAATTGAAAGTCTTAAGTTATGCATATGTGTCCCTGTGTGTTTGCCTTGCTATTTCTAAACGGAAGTGCTGAGTTGGAACATATCTTAGGGCCAACTGCACTGCATCTGTTTAGAAAAGAGGACTTGGAACTGTTTCAAATATTTTGAGTGATTGCGTTATTGGGTTATGTTTTGGTCTTCAGAAAAAACTATTTGATGCTCCGCTTGGCGGATGACACAGTCACATGACAACTACGTTATTTGGGAAAGAGACAGGGAAATTTCTATCAAACTACAAAAAGGATCGCAAAGATATTAGAAAGCTCCGTGTCCTTCAGAACGAAGCCAAACTCCGCTGCCTGGTTTTGATGAATGTTTTTCATGTGAAGGGATTTTACATCATTGTTTGCCACTGATTAAAAGTAAAAGTTTGCAAAACATGAAATCAATAATCTCATCCAATACTGATGATTACTGCAACCATTTTGAGCCCTTTGACACTTGTATGCCTTAAATGACAGATGATCCCTGGTTACACGTGTTCACTTTCCAGTCGTGCTTGTTCGTCTTCAGCTTTTTGTGCACTTGTGATAGCTTTATTATTTTACTCGATACACCCTGTCATTAACATACAGTTAATAGCTGCTAGAGTGTTAGGTAAATACAAAATCACACTTAGTCAAGGTGCAATAATGATTTTCTTACAGAAACATTCATGACTGCTTAGACTATTTATGCAAATAATTTCCAGTGACCGTAAAACCATTGATTGGAAATATTCACAAGGAAAGAATAAATTGAAACATAAATGAAATAACTTGCCTCCACACAGCAGCAAACCTATCAATATGGCTGATGCATTTGTGCCACTTGTTCCAACCTCACTCACTAAAACAGAATAGACATTTAGGGTCAGAGGAGTGCGTAGTTCACTAATCTCTGGGAGTTAAGGATTACTTTTGTTGTTCGATGACAGCATTAGAAGTTTTCCATTGCAGCTCTAATATCTAATTTCTTTTTGATAGTACAGCCTACACTGTAGTCTTAATATACTGTTCCCAGGGATCTGGTTCAAATAAAATGGATTTGTTATTTAAAATTGATCATTAATAGCGAAACCCATCCTGTATCTGTGCGATCTAGACATTAAACTCTGCTTCAGTCCTTCACAGCCCCCTGTCTACTTTAAGGCTGTTTGATGTCATTCTTGTTTTGAAACTTGAAAACCACAAATGAAATTTGAATACCCTTTAATAAACACACTTCAAACTTGGTTTATGTTTGTTTTGTATTTCATGAAACCTGATTTTTGCATATATTACTTCTAAATTTGTATCTAAATTATTTAATGTGATGCAGTTTAAATAAACTGAATATGATTGATTCAAAGACATTTATAAAATAATCGTTATTCCCCAATAGGACTCAGATTAGTAGGTGAATTATTGTGCTTTAAGTAGAACAGGGGTGGCCAAACTCCTTTGATTGTGAGCTATACACAGGTCACAGGCCAAACAATAGTAAATGAGTATTTTTCAACCAGTTGCACTGCAAGGAAATGTTTGTAAATGTCATGTTTTTAGATACGCAAACCCCTTGTTCCTTAGAAAATGAATCATCTATCAAAATAAAACAACACTACTAAACAGTTAAATGTTTGGCATTACAGTCCTCCATTGGTGTGCCCACATATTACAAAGAAGTATTATTTATGTGAATGCATTCAATACTTTTAAACTCCAACACAGTGCATAACCTGAGTACCCACAACAGTATTATAATGTCATGTGTAAAATTGTAAATAAGTCAAGTTAAACCAGGCAAAGTTACTACTAGTATTATTATAGTGTGGTAGTACTACCACTCTATAATATTGGTAGTACTAGCTACCACTCTATAATAATACTGTGAAAGAGTGGTAGTTTGCTTCCTGACTGCTCAAACCTTCCTGACCGCACGCGGCGCTGTGTGAAGTGAGCCGCTCGGATAAGTTTGGGATCTCGTAGTCTGGTTCTTGCTCAAATCCAGCCGAGAGGTGTCCATCGAAAGTCGGAAGTTGGTTTTGATAGTTTTGGTGAAACTCGACAAAATGGCAGAAGACAACAGCTATGAGTCAATGCTCTGTGTAAAGCCCGAGGTTCATGTTTACAAGATCCCGCCGCGCGCTTCTAACCGTGGATATCGGTAAGATGAGCTCAGTGAGTAGTAACGGCGAGTCTCGTGAGAGACAAGTGTCCGTCATCAAGCTAATATAACGTACACCCATTATCGGACAACGAGTTGTTAGGTGTGATGATTGTTACCGTTCTCCATGTCCCTGCAACGTGTATTGGACGGTTACAGTTCACACACGCAGTAACAACTTTAGTAAGGATTTAGATAAACAGACATAATGTTAGCTAGCTGAGAACGTTACACGTGCTAGCGGAATATCAAAACACTAATTCGCTGCTGTAACTTGTTACCTGCTCACGGAAATTGGACACCGTCATCCAGACTTTGTCAACAAACAGGTCATAGACTGCGACTTACACCTGCTGCCATATAAAAAGTTAACTTTAGTGGTGAAAGTTATGAGAAATGATGACGGTGCTGGTAACGTTAGGTCTGGAAAGTTTAAAATGGCAGGGCTCGTGTCCGATAATGCAGGTGTTTATAGTCCATGCTAGCGGCTAACTAGCTAACATTAAGTGACATTATTTAAAATTCATTCTGTGTTTTGTGTGAAAATAATATCGTAGTAATTCTATGAAAACAATATCTAACGTTAGCTAGACTTACATGTGTAGTGGATGACTGATTGCCCATTGACTTACATTAAACTGTCAGCCTACTGTTTTCACTCTTAGATTAAATTAAACTGTGTTTTTGTCAGCTGTCACATTATAATGTTATATATATATATATATGTGACATATCAAGGAGGAGTTACCATCCATCACATTATGAGAAGTTTGTCATTCCCTGAAGCAGCCTGTCCATCTTTCAACATAAAGAAGCTCTCATGGAAGTTAATTTTTGACTCCTGGAAACAGTAGTTGTTAAAAACAAAAAAGGGCTAAAGCAAGGTCCACTTTCTAGCCTTTTTTCTGGAGCTTTCCACTGTCTCTCATGGTATTCCTCCACGGATTGGAATTGCTCAGATGTCATGATGAAAACAGAAAGCCGTGAGGTCGAAAGCCCCAGAAAAGCTTACTAAGTGGACCTTGATGTTTGTTTTTCTTTTGTCATGTTGTGTTAATGAAGATATAAATTCTAATTCTATCTTTAAAGGTTCCACAGGTGTCACATTTCCTTCAGTTGGCAGCAGAACCAAAAAGATCTTGAATATCTAATTTTAGTCTTCCTGAAAGCTTTTAATTTCACTTCCTCCTGCTGTGGAAAGCTGCAGCTGTCTGGGTAGAAACTGTGATACACTTCTTGTTCAGTGTGTGTTTCTTGTTGTTCTAGTGCTGCTGACTGGAAGCTGGATGAACCTGCATGGAGTGGTCGGCTGAAAATCTCTGCAAAGGGCAAGATTGCCTACATTAAGTTAGAGGACAAAAACACAGGTAAACAAATTGGCATTTCCTCCTCCTGCTCGGTCTAATTTTGTTAGTGTTACATAGCAAGATGGTGGTTCAAAAATGTTTGAGACTTGAAACATGTGGTGCTCAGCATGAGGGAAACTGGGTGTTTTCAAGCAAAAATATGATTGTTTTTATTTTTCCATATCGGGGAAAAATAGGATCTTATAAAAGAAAAGAAAGACGGATTACATGAAAGCATCCTGCTTTAACCATTAACCTTCATATCTTATCCAGACTGGGCCAATAAGTAATAAAGTCTCACAATTAAAGCTCTGTTCGTATCATTTTGGATGATGACAAGCATGCAGAACAACAGTTGCGATGTGCACAATGCGTCATGTGAGGATACATAGAGTATGCAACAGATTTAGAGAACTGTTATTATTGTGGTTAACATCAATATGCAACTACACAGCAGATGCATGACCGTGCTTGTGTCACATTAACAAGTTACCTGACTCAAGGCTATTTAAAATGCATGGTATATTCTGGGAATGTGGTAGAACAGGTGAGTCCCTCCTCTGGTGAATTTGCAGCAGACAAGGGGCTGCAGGTGTGTTGTTGCCCTTTTACATTTGATTGTAGAGATTTAGTCTTACCATTCAGAATATTCAGAGTTAAGCTGACTCACCAACAAGCTTGCTAAATTTCTTTGTGCTTTGCGACTAACATCTTTACTTTATTGCTCACACGTCAGTAAGTAACCCTAAGGTGTTGTTTGCAGGAGAGCTGTTTGCCCAAGCTCCAGTTGAACAGTACCCAGGGTGTGTGGTTGAGTCAGTCACAGACTCCAGCAGGTACTTTGTGATCCGGATAGAAGATGGTAACGGTAAGACACTTTCTGTGGGAGAAGTAGGAGGATATACTGTACTGAAGTCATCTCAAATGTAATGTCACATTTATAGAGAAATGCATCATATCAATAAAAAAAAATGAAGTAATTTATTTTATATTGTATACATATATAAAAAACAAAACATGACTATCTAGTCTTTCAAATTTATAATACATTTTTTATTTTTCAAGAGAATCAGAATTCAGATAGATTTGTGGAAGTGAAATAGTGCATCAGCCTTTCCTCCAAACAAAGGAAATATTGTGTGTTTTTACGCTTTAAAAACTGTATTTCCTGCCTACTCAGAAGTTGTGTGACGACTGCACATCATTGATCACGAGGATCTTTAACGTGTCATCATAGTGATTCAGGATCTTTAAAGTGACATAGGGATTTCAGGATCTTTAACGTGACATCATAGTGATTTCAGGATCTTTAACGTGACATCATAGTGATTTCAGGATCTTTAACGTGACATCATAGTGATTCAGGATCTTTAAAGTGACATCATAGTGATTCAGGATCTTTAAAGTGACATCATAGTGATTCAGGATCTTTAACGTGAGATCATAGTGATTCAGGATCTTTAACGTGAGATCGTAGTGATTCAGGATCTTTAACGTGAGATCGTAGTGATTCAGGATCTTTAACGTGAGATCGTAGTGATTCAGGATCTTTAACGTGACATCGTTGTGATACAGGATCTTTAACGTGACATCGTTGTGATACAGGATCTTTAACGTGACATCGTTGTGATTCAGGATCTTTAACGTGACATCGTAGTGATTCAGGATCTTTAACGTGACATCGTAGTGATTCAGGATCTTTAACGTGACATCGTAGTGATTCAGGACTCGGTTAATGTATTTCAGCCATTTGTATCAATCACAGGAACTCTTGAGTCTGTCTCACTCTTCAGCTACAAAGTGACAGTGGATAATGTTAAAAGAGACTTTTTTCTTGATATAGAGGCACCATCTATTGCTATTTATATTATTTATTTAGTCTTTAAATGTAAGACAACCCCACTTCTGTAATGAAGAAAACTTCTTATATTCAGCCTAATATGGTGTAAAACTGATTGATTGATAAGTCACAGGTTTATATTCAGTAGATTTATTGTCTGTATCTTACTGCAGGCATTATGCTCTTTCATATGATTCATAATGTGCTTTTGTCTTTACAATTTTACTTCAATAAAGGACGTCATGCTTTTATCGGTCTGGGTTTTGCTGATCGTGGAGACTCATTTGACTTCAACGTAGCTTTACAAGACCATTTTAAGTAAGTAAGCTTCTCTTATGTTGTCTTTTTACTGTCTGATCTCTGTTCATACATACGGCCTCAAAATCGCATCCGTTTCTATGACCTGGTAAATATTCATGAGCACGTTGTGCAACGTTTACATGAATGTGTTTGAATGTGATACTTTGAACAACATTCATACTTGGATAGACAACAGTGCATAGTTGTCCATCATGCATCTAATTCATTTATTTTAATTCTAAATGAGAGTAACAGAGACCATCGACACACACATTAAAGCTTTTATGTTGTGTTTGCTACAATACTTGCAATGCTGGTGTTTTGTTATCTGTATCCTTCCACTGTAATGACCCAGTTTGACTCTATCCAACGTTACTTCAGTGATCGTTATTATGCTTTCTAACCATTTCTAAAGGTGGGTGAAGCAAGAAGGAGAGCTTGCAAAACAGGAAGCTTCTGAGAGCACAGCACCGAAGCTGGACCTCAGCTTCAAAGAGGGACAGACTATCAAGATCAGCATTGGGGTGAGTCATTCAGCCCCAACATTACACATGTCAAGAAGTGAATAAAAAAAGGATTAAATAATGACAGATTCTATAAAGCAAAGAGCCACTAATTAAACAATAAAGACGTTCAGAAATTCAGAAACTCTCATGACTCCGTCTACAGCAAAACATCAAGAAGAAGGAAGCAGGTGCCAAACCACGTCCCACGGGTGTGGGTCTCCTCCCACCTCCACCAGGTGCTAAGGTTGGAGGTGTAATACCGCCTCCTGTGGGCGAGCAGACAGTCTCAGCTGTACCGACTAACTCTGGTGATCACCCTGCTGTTGAATCAAATCAAATGATTTAAACATCTTCACGGGATTGAAACGGTATTCATGCTTTACATACATGTTTTTCTCCTGATCCAGCCTCTCTCTTAGACTTCGGGTCCCCTAGCCCTGCGGCCCCACCCAGCTCCGACGTGTGGGGGGATTTCACGTCTGCAGGCTCCAAGTACGTTTTCCTCAATATGTCACCTGTATTTATGGCTGTCCTAACAATCCATCTTGTCCATCTGTCACATTTGTCTTCGTTTAACATGATTTGTTTTTGAATTCTTTCACATTCATCATCATCACACTCTCATCTCCCACCCACCCCCACCTCCACCTCCCTTCCCTCTCCTCCACAGCTCCAGTAAAGATGCTGTCAAAACAGGATGGGTGCAGTTTAGTTGAGTGGTGAGAAAACGTGCACACACTCAGGCCCCATACATTCCATGGACAGGATGATTTTGGCATAAAGAAACTAAAAGAAAGGAACTGTTAGCAAACTTGACTGGCTCATTTGTTCTGTAAAGAATATGTTCACATAAACTAGCCGGCTGACCAACACACTCTGGAGGAACAAACAGTAAACATGTGCATACTTTTTTTATAATCCTATTCTTTTCTCAAACTCTGCCACCAAGTGGGACCTTTGTTTGATTTTAGAAGTCGCTAAGACTAAACGGTGATTGTTGGAGCGTCCGCTCTCCTGAAGACAAGTGAGCGTGTTGATGGTCGAAAAGGAACGATTGTCTTGTTACACTAACCAGATGAAAACATCTGTCCTTTGCCTTCAATCAAATGTTCCCTTATTTTACATCTAGTTTCAACCCCTTTCCCCTTTCTCAATGCTATCTGTCCAGAATCATTTTGGATTGTGTCCCTCTGTCCCATCATGCTCCCGTCATAGTTATCTCATTACACAAGCACCACTCATCTCAAGGTTGTTTTTACCATTTGGGGATCGTTGGATATTTTCAATGGGTAAACTATGTTTTGTTAACTTTATAGCAGTTTGTGTGCATTTTTGTTTTGTTTCCTAGTTTTTTTTTTTATTTTGTTTTAGATCGGGCAAAGCTATATTCATATATGATCATTTGTTTTAAATTAATTCATCAAATATACCCAGGTTGTTTTAATTATGGTGTTCGAAACAGTCATGATGTATATTTCTTGTCTGTCATTCAAAGTTTGAACATGTTTTTGTTCATTTTCGTCTTTGTGTAGGCCCTTCATACGTCTTTGTCTCGTGCCTTGTTGCTTTTAAAAATGTGCCGTTACCAAATAGTAATGTCAATCTTGTTGCTAATTTGCATCAAGTATTTGATTAAGTGCCTTTCAGAAAAAGATCTAAAATGTATAAAATATAAACCGAAGTCATCTTGTAAATAAACAATATATTTCATTGACTCTTGTTTAGATTTGTATGAGTGAACTAGTCAGCTTGTAGAGAGGCGTTCTCCATGTTACTCATGTCTTCTTCACAGGTGCAATGTGTTCTCAGATAGAGTATTGGACCAAGTTAAAGTGTTAAGCATCTCATAAAGGTTTTTTTTTGATGATCTAGAAGGAGAAGGTGGAGTCACTTAATGTAATCAGTAACACAATCTAACAGGATTGTTTTTGATATCACAGCCAGTATATTTTTTCAATTAGGTTAATTGGTATTAATTTAAATAACATTTCCATGTTTAATTGTTCTAAAGTTGATCATATGTCCCTGTATTGAACTGAACATCAAGACCTTGACAATTGCCTGCTTTTCATATTTCCATAGCTTGAAATTCCATAAAATTTGTTTTAAATTTTAGTAACTGGGTTTTTAAACATCACCTTCAAATGACATCTAAATGTAGGTTTGTTGAGTTTATGAATATATTGGACAGTTTTTCAAATTCATCAATAGCAACAGAAAGATATTTCTGATTCTTCTGACTGTGAGATGATGGGACATTAATCTCACACTAAATATGATCACCGTTTACCAGAACAGATGTATAGTGGGTACGGAAAGTATTCAGACCCCTTTAAATGTTTCACTTTGTTTCATTGCAGCCATTTGCTAAAATCAAAAAAGTTCATTTTA